ACGGGCTGCCGGGTGCAGGGACGGACAGAGGAGAGGACGGTGGACAGGTGGACAGGAGTCGGCAGGGGCAGGTCACTCATCCTGCACCGTGAGGTCGTGCTGCGTGGCCTCCTCGATGCTCTGCAGCTGGCGGGCCTCCCACTGCCTCATGCACTCCGTCACAGCCGCCAGCTTCCTCAGGTCCCCGTGGTGTCGGAGATCCCGGGCAGCCCTTGGCTTCTTCTCCAGCTCCCCGGGGGCTCTCCCGGCTTCGCCTTTGGCTGGGGCTGCAGCCGCAGCGGGTGGGTGACCTCGGTGGGCACAGGTGGCTCCCCCTCCGGCGCCTGGGGGCTGGGGTCGGGCGTTTTTTAATTGGATTGTTTGTCTTTCTTTTGTTGAGTTGGATGAGTTCTTTATATATTTGGGATATTAAACCCTTATCAGATGTTTCATTGGCAAATATGTTCTCCCATGCAGTGGGCTCCTTTTCGTTTTGATGCTGGCATCTTTTGCTGTGCAGAAGCTTTTTATTTTGATGCAGCCCATTTGCTTATTTCTCTTGCCCTAGGCATTGTACCAGTGACAATTCTGCTGCTACGTGAGATGTCTGATATTTTGCTGCCTGTGCTTCTAGGATTTTTATGGTTTCGTGACTTAAACAGAACCTTGTACACTGCTGGTGGGAATGCCGATGGTAAGACCACTATGGAAAACAGTGTGGAGTTTCCTAAAAAAAATTAAACATGGAACTGCCATGTGACCCAGTGATCCCACTTCTGGGAATATATCCTAAGAAACCCAAAACACCAATCAGAAAGCATGTATGCACCCCTGTGTTCACAGCAGCACAATTAACAATAGCTAAGATCTGGAAACAGCCCGAGTGCCCATCAGCAGATGAGTGGATAAAAAAGCTGTGGTACATCTACACCATGGAATACTATGCTGCTGTAAAAAAGGTCTCTAATCCTTTGAAACAAGATGGAGGGACACTTTCTTCTCACACTTAGCAAAACACACAAATAAACAAACATCCCTCAGGTTAATGTCGCTGTCCTGGGAGGGGCAGGAAGACCTTGGCAGTCACTGATCTCCCCACCCCTTACCTGGCGGTAGTTGGAGGTGAAGGCGCCCAGGTAGGCCACGACCCCCGAGGAGATGAGGATGTCGCCCGTCAGGTTGATGTACAGCAGCCCCAGCTCCAGGGCCGATTGGCTCCAGCGGGTTTTCTCGCCCCCGAGGCCGCCAATCAGCTGCTCAGCGCGTTCCAGCTTCTTGCTGCACAAGTCAACCTAAAAGGCAAGAGTGAATTGTGTCAGCAGCCACAGTCGAATGAGTTATAAAATCCTGCAAGATTTTACCCTCAGAGAGAAATTATTACTTTTTCATTACAAATTTCCCACTGGAATTTTTAACTCTCTAAAGCAGTGGTTCTCAAACTTCTGGCCCTTTAAATACAGTTCCTCATGTTGTGACCCAACCATAAAATTATTTTCGTTGCTACTTCATAACTGTAATGTTGCTACTGTTATGAATCGTAATGTAAATATCTGATATGCAGGATGGTCTTAGGCGACCCCTGTGAAAGGGTCGTTCGACCGCCAAAGGGGTCGCGACCCACAGGTTGAGAACCACTGCTCTAAAGCAAACATGTGAGCTATCTCATTGTGAACACTGGGAAGTTCAGAACCTTTGATGATTTTTCCATAATAGAAGTATGTCTATGAATACAATTTATGAAATTCATAATGGTATTTGTCATGGAAAGCAGAGATAGTTTTATTTAAGGAAATGACCTATAGTATGAGAAACTAAAAGGTAAGTAATGAAGAACATTCTCTTGCAAATATAGATGTTCCCCCTTCGTTTCAATCATCTAAATGCATTTTATTTTAGTATTCTCTGAACATTTACCACTCATTTAACTTATGGTTGATTTTATAACTTTAAGGGTTAAATGTTTAAAAGTTTTAATAACTTATGCTTACGTACAAAGCATGATTTTCAAGTTGTTAAATGTATCAACCTACTCAGACACCTGCAGATAACCTTACCTGGGGGCGTCGACACCAGCCGAGAGCGTGCTCTGTGCAAAGGACTGGTCACCACATTTGATTACACATAATTAAGCCATGTGATTAGCAAATAAAAAGGGCAGTTATGAAGGTAGCAAACTTGGGGGGAAACCAATTCAAACCATGCAATAGCAATATTCCAGTAGAATATCTGAATTATTTTGATTTATTTTAGCCCTAGCCAGTTTGGCTCAGTGGATAAAGCGTTGGCCTGTGGACTGAAGGGTCCTGGGTTTGATTCCAGCAAAGACACATGTCCCAGGTTGTGGGCTCAATCTCCAGTGGGGGGGTCTGCAGGAGGCAGCCAATTAATGATTCTCTCTCATCATTGATGTTTCTATCTCTCTCTCCCTCTCTCTTCCTCTCTGAAAACAATAAAAATACTTTTTAAAAAATAAAGTGATTTAGCATCATTATTTTTGGGAGAAGACAAAATTAAGTAAAGTTTACCTCAAGGTTTAAAATTAAATAATTCACATGAAAAGGGGAAGTAAATAGCCAGTCCGGTGTGGTTCAATGGTTTTATAACCAGGAGGATATGGTTCAACTAGAGGCCCAGTACACGAAATCCGTGCACTCAGGGGGTCCCTCAGCCCAGCCTGCGCCCTCTTGCAGTCCAGGAGCCCTTGGGGGATGTCCAACTGATGGCTTAGGAGCAGGCCTAAGCTGTCAGTCAGACATCCTTAGCACTGCACTTGCCAGCCGTGCGCCCTGCTCAGGGCTTCTGGCTGAGGGGTTCTCCCACTGTGGGAGCTCACTGATCACCAAGGGGAAGCTCCTGTATTGAGCATCTGCCCCCTGGTGGTCAGTGCGCATCATAGAGACCAGTTGTTCTGCCATTCGGTCGATTTGCATATTCGCTTTTTATTATATAGGATAATTGCTTTTAGATTAAAAGATACAAAATACTCTATCAATTTATCTAAAGATAGGTTCAAAAAAGCAAAAGGTATCTAATTGGTAATATTTTTTATACTTGCTAAATTTAAACCGTTTCTGTTTTAATTTTCCCTTTTCTAATAGTTTCTGCCTTTCTTCATCCATTATTCTCTCAATGATCTTGAAGTGGTAATCAGGCCTTGGACTATAATAAAGTTGTCAGAAGAAAGAAGTAAGTAAAAAATATTTTAGCTAAAATTTCTCCTCCAAGAGCAGATTTTTAGTAGACATATGCATATATTCATTTTACAGCACCATAATTTTTAACATTTTACTTTGAAAAATAAAAATGTCAAACATACAGCAGAGTTGAAACATATTTAGAGCAACAACATACTGTCAGTTATATTATTTAAACTAAAACTGATGCTCAATAACAGGTCGCATTTCTAAATATCAGCCACAAATTTGCACAAATATAGACTATGTGCACATATCCTACAGGAGGGAGCAGTCTGGTACCATGGGACTGAGCATAGCTATTAGGGTCAGATTGCCTGGGTTCTGATCTTAGCCTTAATGCTTAGAATCTGGGTTAACCATGGACAAGGTGCTCAACTTTTCTGTGCTTTAGTTTCTACAAAAAGGTACAAAGAGATTACCTCCCTCATTTATTGAGGGAATAAATGAGGTAGTACATACAACAGTGCCTTCCATATAAGAAGCACCCAACACAGTTTGACTGGCACAAAGTATTTTGACTTCTTTTCTGGAACATGCTCAGACTTTAGCAGTTAGTTTTTGCAAACAGTATCGCTATATGAGTTAGAGCAGCAGTCGCCAACCTTTCGGACCTCATGGACCACCAGTGGTCCACGGGCCACCGGTTGGCGACCGCTGAGTTAGAGCAATGCTTTTAGTCTTAAAGACATTTTCAGTGGCCACAGCATGGTGCTGGGGGTTGAGTTCTAATCTCAGCTTTGCCATGAACTCTTATACAATCTAAGGCAATGAACATTTTGGCTCTCCATTTCCTCACCTCTATATAAAATAAAGAATAATTTAAATAATCTAGCTCGATATTTTAATAATACAAGGCAGAGATGATATTGGCAATTTTTTTTTCTTTTGGAGAAGGAAAGGGCCAAGGGAAGGTACATATTTTAGGCTCTGGGGCTCAAGAGGTAAAATCGAGGATATCGTGTAGGTGTTATATAACCATTTAATATGTAATCATTCAACAATGATTACTAGCGTGTGGACCGTAAAAATGGGCGATGAAGAATTTGGCCCGGGGCCCACAGGTCACCAACTCCTGACCAAAACAAGAGGATTGCTGTGGGAGGTGCTAACATGAACATCGTTTTCACTTACAATAGTGGACAGTTTGCCCGCATTTGCCTGCACCATCCTGTACCTGGTTCTCCAGGTCAGCCTTCTTTTCTTTGTTCTGCTCCAGCTTGTCCTGCAGCTTGGCCAGCTTGTCCTGCACCTCGTGCAGGGCGGCCTGCTTCTTCCGGAGGCCGTCCATGGCGACTTTGAGCTCCCCCTCCGCTGCAGCCAGCTTGATCTTTTTGGGAGCGACTATTTTTGCCACTCTGCAAGAAAGTGAAATTGGAAAATGAAATATACACTTAATATTTCAGGGCACTACCACTGAATTTGCTTGCCTAATATCCTTCCTCTAACTCAAAACCCATCTTCATATACAACCTAGACCAGTGATGGCGAACCTTTTGAGCTCAGCGTGTCAGCATTTTGAAGAACCCTAACTTAACTCTGGTGCCGTGTCACATATAGAAACTTTTTGATATTTGCAACCACAGTAAAACAAAGACTTATATTTTTGATATTTATTTTATATATTTAAATGCCATTTGACAAAGAAAAATCAACCAAAAAAAATGAGTTCGTGTGTCACCTCTGACACGCGTGTCATAGGTTCGCCATCACTGACCTAGACTGATCTCCTTACTCTCTGTTTCACCCAAGAATCAGTCAAGCCTGATCCCAGAACATCAAACGTGACGATTAATACTCAATAGGCATAACGCTTTCAAACAAGTAATTGTTTTTTACCCAAAACAATAATATTTGGTTGTTACCAGTGTGGGGGTTTTTTTGGTGATTTTGCAAAAGGAGAATAGCACATTCATGTAAAATATTACAGAGTTTGGGGAAAGTCGCTAAATTCTGATGAGGAGAAAGTGAAGTATTCTATCTGTGTCATTTTACTTCTTTTAAAAATTTCAGAATATACCCTTAGGTAAAACCCAATTTTCTTATGAACATGTAAGTTGGTAATAAAAGGGACAATGTAGGAAAAAAGAATGGATCTAAATTATTTTCTTTATCTGGAAATGGAGTCAGTCATGCTATCTTTCTAAACAAATGATAAAACATTACATTAAAATTTATCATTGAACATAATATATGTACAAGATTCTAATTGTGTGTATATGAAAGATCCTGTAAAAGTTGCTTTTTGAAGAAATAACCAATGGTTTTTATTCTGTACATGCTATGCACAGTCTCACACAATCATTAAAAAGGCTCCTTGTCTCATAAAGAATGTGCATATGTTACACCAGTGGTTACCAGTGTGGCCCAGGCCCCTCCCTTCACAGGGGCCCTGAGGTCCGCCCTTGTCCACTGGAGCATCTGCGTAAGGAATTTCTTCACATGCTTCAGTCAAAACAATATATACAGCAGACAGAAGAAGCAGATTCGAGAGTCCAGCCATCTCCTACTAGAGCACATATTAAAGAGATTTGCTGGAATGTAAAACACCAGCACTCTTCTCATAATTTTCTTTTGGAAAATGTGGATTTAAAAAAATAATTTGTGTTAACATGTAATGTTTTCTTTTTTTTTTTTTTTGGTAGGGAAATACAACATGTAATGTTTTCATTGCTCTTTTAAAAAATGAGCTCTTGCCCTAGCTGGTTTGGCTCAATGGATAGAGCATCAATCTGCGGACTGAAGGGTCCCAGGTTTGATTCCTGGTCAGGGCACATGCCCGGTTGCAGGCTTAATCCCCAGTAGGGGGCGTGCAGGAGGCAGCAAATCAATGATTCTCTCTCATCATTGATGTTTCTCTCTCTTCCTCTTTCTTCCTCTCTGGAATCAATAAAAAATATATTTAAAAAAATAAATATTTGAACTTAAAAAAAAACCTCTTAAATGTATTTAAAAGTTTCTCAGTTTTAATTTCTAGCTGGTAGATAATAAACAAAAGCTTTTGGGTCGCTAATAATTGTTAAGAGTATAGAGGGCTCCTTAGTGGAGAACGTTCGGGGAGCATTGCAGCACTCTATTTAATTGCTGGAAGCTCGCCTCCACCAATATGCAAGCACAGAGCAGGAATTAGCCGCGGTTTCCTGAGGTTCCTCTCAGCTCTGTAGCGTCTAAGTCTGATCCTGTCTAAGTGGCCACATTGGAGAAGAGCGTACCAGGCCGCTGTCGGCACTCACTTGTCGTACGAATCCATGGCGATGACCCACTTGCACAGGCCCTCGGCCGCCGTGGATGCATTTCTGATCTTTTCTGGGACAAAGTCCGGATTTGGAATGTAATTTTTCCTGATGATGTTCATGTAGGCCGGAGGAATGTTGTCTTTGTCATATTCATGAAGGGACTGTAGGAATCGAATGTCACCGAGGAGTCTCTTAGCTGGACCCCAGAAATCCTCTATCTTCTTCCCAGAACCCGTGGGGTCGGGGATCTTGTCGGATTTGATGCCTTTCAGGATGCAGATGGCCTCCATAACGAGCTTGACCCCAGCAGGCGGACTCTTCATGGACTTGACCACTGTAATGTCCTGGAAGTGAAACACGCCAATTATTTAAAAACAGCTTGTGTGTGGATTATTTGTCATTGGTTTTTATTCTCAAGCCAAGCTGTAGGCTCTAGAATCTCATTGTTCAGGTGACTGTGACTAGAAGTATTGTCAAGAAGCATGGAGAAATCTGTGTCCCCCCAAAGTTAAAAACTACAAATAATGATGGGAAGATGCCTATGTAAGATTACTTGACATAAAGTCTACTTCCAAAACACACCAAAGAGAGATTTGGCTGTCACAAAGTAAGAGTCTTGTAGCTTCTTAAAGACTATAAAAATGCAAATGTTAGAAAAATACAAAAATTATGAGTATGAAGATCTATAATCATCGTATATAGTTAACTACTGCAAACATTTTTGTTTGCATTCTTCCATATCATTTTCTGTGCATGTGTACATGCCACAAACCAGTGTCTTTTAACCAATGGGATCATGGTCTACATAACACGCATGCTGTGTTAAGAACGATTTCAATAACAATATGTGGTGAACAATCTTTCATGCTGGTAAACATTTCCATCATCATTCTAATGGTTGCACAACTTTCCAATGTATAGACATGAATCACAATCCTTACACCCTATCAAAGCTTTTTTACTATTAAGATCACCCTATTGAATAAATGACTGTATGTTCTTTATTTTTAAAGCTTTTAACACATATTGACAAACTGCTCTCCAGAAAGTGTAAGGGTGCCTGTTTTACTACCTACACCCTTAGCAACATTTGTAGGCATTCTGATAGGCAAAAGAAATCTTACTTTAATCTGTGTTTCTTTAAATACATGTGAGGTAAGATAGATTGTCATATGTTTAGTGACTATTTGTATTTCCTCTTTTGTGAATTACTTCTTTATATCATTTTACTATCTGATCTTAGAGCTACTTATCTGTAAGAGCTATTTATGTAGACATTAATCTTTTGTTTGTCAAATAATTCAAATATTTCCCCCAGTGTTTCTAAACTTCTGTCCATAGTGTTTATATCAAACAAGATGCATTGGTTTTTAGGTACTAAAATTTATAACTTTTATAAAAACTGTACTAATTGTAAAAAATACAAGATCTCCAGATTCTATATATCACAAACAATATTGCTTAGTTTTATTCTGAATTCTCTCACACTCAAGAAATAGTAGGTCCTAGTCCATTTAGAGTTCACAAATATGACTTACATTTTCTACTATTTTATAGTAATGTAACTATTTACATTTAAATTTCCATCAGTCTGAGATATGTTTTTGAGTAAGGTATAAATAAAATCTCTAACACTCTCCCACTTACCCCACCCAACAGTTTAGCCAATATTCCCTCACACTACTTATTTTTTAAAAATTAATCTTTATCTTTCTTAATTGAAATGTTCCCCTTCCATATCTTAATTTTTATTATTTAATGCCACATTTCATCAAATCTAAGACACCCTACTAAAAATATAAGCCAAATTATTGTACATATCACACACACACAATAACCACTGGCAAACACTGACACAACACAGTCGGCCCTCCATGGCCACGGATTCCACATTCGCAGATTCAACCAACCGAGGATTGTTGTTACCGTTTCCTAAACAATACCATATGAACTACTTACATAGACTTTACTTTGTCTTTGATAATGAAGTAATCTAGAGATGATTCAACGTGTGCAGGAGGATGCGCGTAGGTTATATGCAGATACTGCGCTATTTTATAACAGGAACTTGAACCTGCAGATTTGAGTATCAGAAGGGGGTCCTGGAACCAGGCCCCCCAGACACTGAGGCACGTCCGTACTTTCTCACACCTGCTGCAGGGTGCACCCCAATTACAAACGTGCCCACATATGAGACAGGCTCTCTGGCTCAAAACGTACACTTGGTCTTATGCCCCTGTCGATGACTGCGGCTGTTTTGCAAAGTTCTTAAGGTGACAGGTGTCCTGTGGCAGGTGTGACATTGGGGAGGTTTCTGCTTTTTCAAGATCGTCTTAGTCACGCCTGTGTATTTCTTTTTCTTCGGGTGATTAGGGAACCCTTGGCCACCTTGACAGCGACTTGGACGGCATGAACGGTGGGGACAGGCTGCGGCACACAACGCGAAGGGCCTCCCTGAGCTCTGAGGACACCTCCCGCCCGCGCGGCCTCTTACCTGCGCGGTCAGGGTGTCCAGGGCCGCGAGCGCCGACTCGAGGATGGGCAAGGCCCCCGCCAGGTCGGCGTCACATTCGTCTTTGATGGCTTTGGCGGCCATAGCCTGCTCGTTTGCCACGATCTCATCAGCTTTCACTATTTTTTCCGTTTTGGCCACTTCGAACGATTCCCTCTCGATCATCAGCATCATTTCGTCCACCGCTTTGCTGGCAACCTTTAGCTGAGGGTGGAGCGCCTCCAGCTCCAGCTGCATGGAGGCGACTTGCGATGCCGCGGAATCCAGTTTCTCCAGACCCACCTCGTACCTCTTCTTCATCTTCATCACTTCGCTGAAAGCAAACACACACCACGCTTAGTCGTCAGGCTCCGGGCCCTCCTACAAGGAAGGAGATTCAGTGTCCTGGGCTCCCGGGGCTTGTTCAGAGCATGGCTAGAGGAGTGACCGGGAAAATTTCCACCAAAACACAGAGAGTCTAAGGGTGGTTACCAGGGGACTGGGTGTGGGTGATAAGAGGGATGGTGTTTAAAGGTACAAAATTATAAGGAACAGTCAAAATCCTTAGAGCTCTAATGCAAAGCAAAATGAATATCGCTAATAACATGGTACGATAATTATGTAATGTGATAAATAGTGGTCCAACGGCAGTCATATTACAATATTAAATGTATCAGAGTAACCAGTTCAAACTTACACAAGGTTACATGTCAAATTTCTCCAATAAAAAAGTGATCGTAATATAAAGTGTGTAACTGAGCAGTAGTTAGCTATGTTAGGCAATGCATCTGTACAAAAGAGTAAGACCCACTCCTTACCTTAAACAATGTTTGCGGAGTAGTCATTTAATGACTTAACAAAACTCACTATAGATGTGAAGTAAATCTCTATTACATCACAGCAATGCCGTTTTGGTAGACACAAATAATTTAAAACTGCTGTAGCTTACTTAAAAATATAAAAATTCATTTTTACCTTCTTTTATTTTCCAACAACAGTTTGAAGGTGGAGATTAATTCCAGATAAGAGGTTGGAGTCACATAATTGTATCTTTGAAGCTCGACATGGAAGGATGTGGACAACTCTATAGTGGACGTGTGGAAGCTTTTACACATGTCGATGCAGCCGTCCCGTATCTCCTCTGACATCTCAATTTCTTCCAAAAAGCGTGAGGCCACTGCCTGGAGTGCATCCTCAGGCCACGACTAAATGTAATAGAAATGCTTCAGCGCTGGGTCCAAGTTACTCTCTGGGTCTGTGCTACTGTGGTCCTTTAGAGCTCAGGGGTGTTCGGAGTGGAGGGGGGAGGATGAGGGTGGGGATGCGTGGGGGAGATGTGTTCATGAGGACTCCCCCAGGACTCGCATGCTCAGGGCAGGGAGCGAGCAGGAGTGCCTGGAACACTAGCTCTATGGCTTGTTCGGGGCTCAGAGGAATTGCTCCTAACACCGCAGGAGCGAGGAAGAGGAAAGGAGCGAAACTCACAGGATGTCTCTTTCTGTGCCGTTCTGCTGGAATTGCCTCGTTTAATCCTCCCAGTAGCTCTCTGAGGTAACTAAACCCCAGAATCATATGGACAGCGACCTCCTTCGTTTCTCTTATAGGTATCTCACACTCAACAAGCCCATGGCATGGTTCCTGTCTCCCCCAGAACAGTTGCCATCTTCTCCAATTTAGTAAACATCACCCCATCCACCCAGTTACTCAAGCCAAAATGCAGGAACCCTCCTTGAGGGTGGAAAAAGAGAGGTAGGGGTATTTCCACCTCTATTCCTCGCCAGCAGGAGCTGAGCTCTAGGCTTTGGGTTCCTGCACCTGTCAGGCAGTCCTGCTTCCACAGCTCCAAACTCCAGTAACACTCTTCCCTCCCTTTTATATCCAGCTGTAAGTACCCGCTTCCTGCGCTGGCCCACCACTGCTGGTCACTCTACCATCCCTCTCATTTCCTTTCACCCTGCCGACACCTCCATGAAGAGTCTTTTCATTCAACTTTCCCCAGTGACGCCTTCCAATGTGCCCTGTCTTTCCCTGACAGGACACTGACTGAGACACAAATTTATCCTAAGACTTTCTAAGGTATATTGAGGTTAATGACTGCATACTCTAGCAATAAAATGATTTTCTATTATGATGATTTCTTGAGTTATCTATAATAATAAAAACATAATATGCTAATTAGACTGGACGGCCGAACAACCTTCTGGATGGCATTCCGGACGTCCTTCTAGACGAAGCTGCCATGGTGGGGGCCAAGGCAGAGGTGGTTAGGGGCGATCAGGCAGGCAGGTGAGCAGTTAGGGGTGATCAGGCAGGCAGGCAGAGTGGTTAGGGGCGATCAGGCAGGCAGGTGAGCAGTTAGGGGTGATCAGGCAGGCAGGCAGAGTGGTTAGGGGCGATCAGGCAGGCAGGTGAGCAGTTAGGGGTGATCAGGCAGGCAGGCAGAGTGGTTAGGGGCGATCAGGCAGGCAGGTGAGCAGTTAGGGGTGATCAGGCAGGCAGGCAGAGTGGTTAGGAGTCATCAGGCAGGCAGGCAGGTGAGAGGTTAGGAGCTAGCAGTCCCAGATTGCGAGAGGGATGCCCGACTGCCAGTTTAGGCCCAATCTTGCAGGAATTTTGTGCACTGGGCCTCTAGTAATTTCATAAAATCAGATAGTATTATTGATCTACAATAGAAGTCATGACAGAGAATCAACATTTCTAGAAATCTATCAAAAATGTACATGGCAATACCTGAAACCAGTCAATGGTACAGCAGTTAACAAGAGCCGGGAACTTTCTCAGACGAATCCGAAAGGCATCCCCAATGGGGCTCATGGCCAGGACGACGTGCAGCTGGTTGCGGCAGCGATCGATGAACATGTTGAACAGAGCGATGGGGCTTCCATCGGTCTGTTTGGTTTTATCCCGTTGGCGATCGAGCTGGCGCATCTTTTCGCATATCTCTTGCTTCTCGTCTAATGGAAAGAGATTCGGCACTTCCCCCGCATTGAGCAGGTTGTTGACATCTTCTAGAAACGACTCCCTTTTAATCTGAGTGTCTGTAAACAGGAAGACCCCCTGCATCTCGCCCTCAGCGCATTTCCTCAAGATCACTTTTAGATCCTCGTGCCACTCGGTGTTACCGTAGCCCTTCGTGATTTCGACCTGGAAGATGGAATAATCAGCCATGTGGGTAGCTAACCTGGTGACAGACTGCCTCCCGCTGCCTCCCACGCCAACCAGAAGAGCATGGCTCCGAGGCTGCTTCAGGATCCTGGAGATGCGGCTGATGTGCTCGATGGCAAATCGGAACAAGACAAGGCTCATGGTCTTCTTGCTCATGTTGTTATATTCCTCAAGGTGGGTTTCCACGATCATCCGGAGATTGTCCACATTTTCAACCTCTCTGTAGTTGGTGTCCTCCTTCTTGGGATCATGGAAATCACAAAACATTAAGCTGCGTAAGTCATCTTCTTCCACTATTCCATCACCATTGAAATCCAGATGTTGAAAAAGCTCATGAAAATTTTCATACATATGACTTGTCAAAATTTCTTGAATGTACTCGATAAGCCAATGTCGGTCTGCATTATCCAGGAGGCGATCATAATACACCCTAAGGACCTGGATAATCATTAAAAACCAGCTTTAGGAACGGACTCTTCTATTGTTTTATTATTATTATTTCTGTGCTAATCTCAAGTAACATAAAAAGTACTCTCAGGAAATTTGAATGGGATTGATTAAAAGCATATCTAAACAATTAGACTAACTCATGATCATGTTTATTTTAAATATTCGTTTTGATCATACATATATGAGATACTACACAGTTGCATGCAGTTTTCAATAAGTAAAGGTAATGGGGGGGGGACTGAAGCAGATGGTAGAGAGGCTGTGAAGACCAGGGAAAGAGTGTGAAGGACTAGAGAGGAAAAACTACTAGAAGCTACTCCCTCTGCTGGTCACTCAGATGAGATAGAGCTGGACACTGGCATCGAGGCTTTTCCAACTTCTGTACCATGGCCTTCCGTTCTCCAAGCTAGATAGCAGTTTGAAAATTATTGGAGAATCAATAGATATTATTTTTTAAAAAGCACATGTTCTAGCCGAGACCGGTTTGGCTCAGTGGATAGAGCGTCGGCCTGCGGACTGAGGGGTCCCAGGTTCGATTCCAGTCAAGGGCATGTACCTGGGTTGTGGGCACAACCCCAGTAGGAGGTGTGCAGGAGGCAGCTGGTCGGTGTTTCTCTCTCATCGATGTTTCTGGCTCTCTGTCTCTCTCCCTTCCTCTCTGTAAAAAATCAATAAAATATATTTTTTTAAAAAAAGCACATATTCTAGAAAAAGAGAAAATGTCTTCTGTGGAAAGCAAGCTTGTTTGGGACATTTTAAAACTATTGTTGTTGTAAGTCATTGCAGAAGGCAATCTACTAAAATAAGCTCTGGCTATAGGCACATGCTATGTGGCTGTAAGAAATAGTGAACCAGGCTTGCTACGTGAAATAACTTTCTTCAAAGTGGTGTGCGTGTCCTTTGGCCACAGTCTGTTTTCATATGTTGAAGCTCTACCTCAATGTGACTGTATTTGGAGAGGAGTCCTTTACGGTGGTAATTAAGGTTAAGTGAGGTCATGGGGTGGGGCCCTCTTCCAATAGGACTGGTGTCCCTCTAAGAAGGGGAAGAGACAGCAGGACTCTCTCTCCCCGCAGGCACACCGAGAAAGGCTCTGTGAGGACCCAGTGAGAAGGCAGCTATCTGCAAGTCAAAGGAAACCCTTCGCCAGAACCTTGATCTTGGACTTCTGGAATCCAGAGCTATGAGAAAATCAACTTGTTGTTTAAGACACTCAGTGTATTTTGTTATAGCAGCACTAGCAGACAAATACATAGACGATATAAGCAATGCAGATTCTTGTCAGCAAAATGCCTGACATCTGGGGGAAGTCACTGCGGCCTGTCTACACCACCTTCTTCATCTCTACAATTGAAGTAGTAATACCAGCCTTGTCAGTCTCACAGATGCAAAAACAAAATGACAACAGGTGTGAAAACCATAAACTTGAGAATTAAAACTACTACAGACTGCCCTGCAGTCAACCTAATGGTGTTCAAGAATAATGAGTTCAGCCTTTTCACTATTGACAAGTGGATGACATAATAGTGCAAATGATATGATTGCAGCCTCCTAGTACTCCAAGTTCAACAGCTACTTTTCTGTGAAACAACATAGTTTCCCAACACATGCCAACAGTCACGCCTTGGATGGAGGTACCGGAGACCTCGAACAACAGGCCCAGGGGAAGAGGAAGCTGAGTTAAACCCACCGCACTCATCAGACGCCAGTGCCTAAGCATGACTCAAGCATGTCGTTATCTAGATGGAACTTAGTAAGAACCTAATGCAGTGTTTCCCAAAGATTGTCCAACACCCGCAGGCACTGGGGAAAGCAGTGAATAAATAAAGCTGCTGCTCTCAGAAAACTCTACTCCAGCATAGACCATCAGTAAGCAAACAAAGAGATGGTATCAGGTGACATTCAGGTATGAAGAACAAAGCAAGATGATAAGGAGTTATAGAGTGGGGGGGAGGGATGGTCCAAGGCGAGCCTCCCCGGTCAGTGGATATCTGAGGAGGTCAGTGGGGAAGCCTTGTGGAGAATGGGGCTCAGAATGTTCTAGGAAGAAGGACTATCAAGAGCCGAGTGCCTGAGGGGGAGAGTGCTAGATGCTTCCCAGAGTACCATGTGGCCGTGACCAAGTGCTGCCACAGGCCATGCACTCCTTCAGGAGGTCAACGACATCCGCCTCTCGTCTCGCTCCCTGCCCACCTTGCAGCATTATTTATGTTACCCAGGTGACCTCCCACACTCCAGCCTGTGTCCCCGCCCCAGAGCGTGGCCCCCACTCAGGTACAAAGTGGTCTGCAGTGGAGCGAAGCCAGAATCTGCCAGTCACACGTTCCCCAAGAGTCACCTACAGGGACCTTGCTGTGGCCGGAACTTCCGAGCGGAATGCACCTTCACTCGGGCATAAAGTTGAAGGTGTGAGGATTTAGGAATTCAACCTGTAGACTAGAAAGCCCACAGAAACAGAATTTTAAAAGCCCCTCTGAAATCTATGTCTCTGTAGCACATCGTTTTAACATAGCAGTGCATCCCAGTTTTCCGGATTTTTTAACGACATCATTAAAATTAAAGTAACCCTATTATTTACATATTAAAATGGAAAAGCACTCTTCCCCCCAAATTCTCATAGCCTTTGCCTATTTTAAAAATATCGCACTATGGTTTTTGGTGTGTTGTTTTTTGTATTCTCTCTCTCTTTCACTGTGTCTTCTTCCCTCCCTGCACAAACGTGTACAAGAAAATGTTCACCCACATTCCTCTCCCCAAAGAGAAGGTAAGTATTACAGTATATGGTTTCCATGCTCTTCAAACTGGTTTGCTTTCCAGTTCTTTCGGCAGCTAGTCAAACCATGAGTAAATAATGTAAGTAAATACATTCTCTTCTTATAAAAAAAAAAAAACAGGCCAAAAAGTGTTCCTCCTCAAAATTATTTGAAGTCAAACTAACAAAGATTAAGTCACTTAGGTCAACAGGAATGCCTAGCAAGGAGAGACAACCCCTTTTAAATAGCATAAAATATATCAGTGTGAAACATTTTAAAAATCATCTTGATGATTGACCTGCGTCACAACAGACAGCGCATTGCATTTCAGCAGCATCAACTGCGGAGCATTTCTTCTTGCTCAGAGGTTGGCTCGAGGAAGATCTTTGTTTTCTGCATGACCAGATTTCGGTAACATGGACACTCACCTCGTGAACCCAAAGACGCTTAATGGCCTCTTTGGTTGCCGTGGTTTCCGGTCTGGACAAACAAATGCCCTGAATGACACGGGAGAAGTCCCGCAGGTTGAACAGGTAGTGCGACTTGGCCGGGGTAGGCAAGAGGTTCTTCATTGCCTCTTTGTACAGAATCATCGTACCGTTGACAATCTGGGCGGTCAAAGTTAGAAAATCCTCTGGAAATTTATAACTTAAAAAGGATTAAGTGAAAAGGGGAAAAAGTCAGCAAATAGAGAACTCTGACACATAAACATTTTGCATGCCTAATAAAATTTTTATTCTGACTAAAGCAACTGGCTTAGCTTATAGAATTACCATTTCTTATCATAATGATGCAATTTTTACTTCTTTCAAAGTTGCTTTCCATTCATTACTGTATTTGTATGTTCAACGGAACTCCACGAGCAGCAGAACCAATGTAACGGACTTTAAATCACTTCAGGAAGGGGACATAATAGCCAACCACCGAGCCCAGGTTATACAGCTCAAGTCCAGGATCCTCTGAGCAGGTAAGTTCTGCCCTTTTCACTCCCTGGCATTCTCAACTGCTTACAGATAGAATCCACAAAAAACACAGGTGAAACAGTATTTTCAAAGAGAGGAAAGGAAGAAAAAGTATATAAAGAAAAAAAAAGATGTAAAAAGAAAGTTAAATGGAGAGTTAAATAGGATAAGAAAGGGGGGCAAAGGGCATGATTGGGGTGGAAAGAACATGGGGGAGAATATTCATTTGGAAAAACTGTCTGTATTTAACCTCTGCCTTGACAAGGACCCGGCTGCCGTCCTCCATCCTCCTGGCGGGGGCAGGGAACGGCACTTCCAGAGACTGGACCCCAGGGACCCCAGACGTGCGTTGCTCAGGGGGCGGGCGTGGCTCTGCGCAGCTGCGAGGAGCACCTTCCCAGGGCACAGGCAGCACGCTGCACGCCCGCTGGGACAGGGACACCCTGGGGAATGCACGGTTCTAGAACATCCCAGTCACAGGGAGACCCGACATGCCTTCCCCTCGCTAATCGCACTAGTGGTGGAAATTCAGAATATTCCCACATGAACATATTAAACCGCAGAATGCAAAATTTGTACGGATTTTTATCTTTATTTATTATTATTTTATATATTTTAATTGATTTCAGAGAGGAAGGGAGAGGGAGAGAGAGAGAGAAACATGCATGATGAGAGAGAATCATGGATCGGCTACCTCCTGCACGCTCCCTACTGGGGATCGAGCCAGAAACCTGGGCTTGTGCCCTGACTGGGAATCAAACTGTGACCTCCTGGTTCATAGGCTGACACTCAATGACTGACCCATGCCGGCCGGGCTGTATGGATTTTTAGGCTAAAATCCAAAGCTTCACACACACACACACACACACACACACACACACACGTAAAAAGAAAGCTACTCTGGCTCCTTTTGGGGATGTCCCCATAACCTGGAGATGGGCACAGTGGGGAGGAGGGGGATGGGAGCAATGGTACCCATTATCTTTTCCCCCTCTAGGATGCTTTTGTGGAAAAGTTTAAGGAGCACCACTTATATTGGTATATTTTCAAAATGTTTTATGCCGCCTTCATGAAAAAAAAACAAACACACTGTAAATTACTCACCAGGTTTTTAAATGCCAGTTCAAGATTCTAGAGAAGATTGTATACATGGATTTGTCACTAAACTCATTGATCGTTATAACATTGAAATGCCGCATGAATCGAGGCGTCACCGGATTTCGCCCACCACCTAGATATCGAAAAGGTAAATCTTAACAATGTTGCTAATAGAAACCAATGTATTTTTCTCTAATATCTTAGAGTATCAAATAACTCAAAAGATGGACAAATGTATGGCACTCTGAGAAATTAAGAATAATCAGTTGTTTGGATAACTTTGACCTCAAAAAAGTATCCCCCTCAAACACAAGATTTTGTTATCTAGTTGAACTATCTGAATGAGTTCAATTACTTACACAAAATCTGGGGTCAGATCTATGTTACCAACAGAGCCACCGGCCACCTTCTCCAGGTCTTAGAGCCCAAGCAGTAAACGGTGAACATCCTCATGACAATAAGATATTCAGAGGTGATGTTATGCAATGTTAATATACAGAAACTCTGAATGGCCGAGCCTTAGGTGTTGGGGGCCAGATGTAAGCTGGCAAGGTCCTTGCACCTGAAGGGGCTAGCAGGGCTGGGACCCTTACCCACACAGTTTTCCCAGACTTGTTTGGATGGCGATTATCAGTAGAATGAGAGCAACCTTTGTAGAATGAGAACAGCCTTTCATGGCTTACCAAGAAGTCTGTAACTATTTACTGAGATATGCTGTACTGAGAACTTGTCCTTCGGCTGTGTCTCTCCCTTAGAGATTAAGAGGAACAAAGAATACATTCCTCTTGACAGACCTCCTATTCAGTGTGTTGTGTATAAATAAGATTGTGTGGCTAATAAACTTCACTTCAGTTCAGTTCCTCGAGAGCTGGAGTCCTCCCGACCCCGCTTTCCTGTCTTTCTTTCTTTTCTCAATTCCCGCCTCCCTACCTCAGCCCGGCTCAACCTGTCAGGCTGGCCCTGACACTTAGGGTCCTTCCCGCCCGCCTGAGATTCAGCACAGCCTCGGCAGGCAGCCCGATTCTCTTCCCGAATCTTAGTGAATCTCCCTACGGTTCCTGTATGTGGCTACTTCCCTGGCTGCTCCCATTTTTTTAAAATTTGGGGATTGTCTCACTTTCATGAAATAATGATGACATTTTCAAGTATGAGGCTGCAATAACTGACTTAGAGTGCAACACATCATTTTACAAAATGGATATTATCATTTTTAAATACATGACACATTGCAATTGTGTTTTGAAGGGATTCGGTCATGAAATCTTGGTTTTAAATTTTAAAGTGTATAATATCTCTAATATATATTTTGCATAAAAATAACTCGGTTCATGTTTTATGTTTGTTTAGGATGGTAAATCTAGGTTTTATTTTTATCACTGAATTGTACACACAGCGCTGCCTCTGAAGATGTGAAGAACATGTGTCAGGTGTTAGTCGGTAGACCAACGCGGTTGTGGATGTCCAGGGATTAAGCGGCTCCTAAGGAACCGATTTCCCTGGCAGGTTTAGGAAGATGATGACAGGGTTCCAGAAGGAATGGTGAGAGGTCCGTCCTCCGCTCCGCCTCCCACCCTTCCTCCCGGAGAACACGCAGGAATGGGGGTATTGTCAGAACAGGGGCTCCTGGAGGAGAAGCTGCCTCGGACCCAGCCTGGTTTCCTGTCCAGTCCCTGCAGCGGCCGGGAAAGTGGGCACGTGGCACAAGGGGCTGGCTCGCAGGGGTGGCGGGGAGGCCAAGCAGAACGAAGCCTGAGACCCAGGAGCAATAGTTTTATTTCAGAGAGGTGGGGGCGAGGGCGGAGAAGAGAGCGCTGAGAGCAATTACTGACTCAGCAAACTGTCTACACTACAGGTCAGATGAAGGTCAGAGGGTTCAGAGGCAAAACCAGAGAGATGGACAGATGAAGCGGTACACTGAGAAAGGGAATTTTACAAACGCAATACCAGAGCTCAGGAGAAGAACAGTGAAAGCTGTCCGGGTAGGTGAGCCGAGCCATTGCGGATATGCCAGCATACGACATTCCCATGGGGCTATCCATTTCTCCCGGAAAATGTCAAGGGTCTCTAGGAATTAACTCTTTGGCCACTTCCTACTGAAATCCCTCTCCACTGCCTGTCTAATCCAGGGCCCTCATGGGCATGGGGCAAGGTTGGGGAGAGGGAAGTGGTCTCTGAAGCAAGGATGTTTCATATGAAACTGTACAGTTGAAACTTTAGTGAACGAAACAGACACGAGCTGCGCGGAGGCAAGGACTGGAAATGGGGGCCAAGTCTCATACGATGGGAGGAAAGGGCTTGGGAAGAGTTGGTGGGAGAATGGCCCCAACCAGGGCAGCCCACTCTGCAGCGCTGACCATTGGGGAACACTCCCTCCGGTCACAGCATGTAACACAGGAAGCATAGACACGGAGCACTGCACCTCAGATCGTCCCATTGGGTGTCTCTTTCTCCAGCTCTCTCTTTAGATACGGCCAGAGTGACGTTCAATCTTAATAAGCCCCAACTTAGAAGGTGTACCTGGAGGTCCCATCGCACACATGATCTGAACGTCCACTAGCTTAATCATCGAGCAGTCTTTTAGGTCGTACCAATTCCAGTGATCCAACCACTGTCTCAGCAGCTCAATGGGCGGCTGAGCCCCGTACACCTCCCGCGCAGGCATGTTGACGTCATCTACAAAGACAACCTGAGGGTGACAAGGGGAGAGGGATTAGGAAAGATTCACATCTCATTAGAGTGTCCTGCTGTGTTAATAATGTTGAGGCAAAGAATCGGATCGTCGCTTTGTAGAGCACGGGTACGAAGTGATGGCTTCTTTTCCAATCAAATATCATACCCCTTGGCATCCATGCTCCCAAGGAACAGAGGTAAGAGTTTAGGCCTTACTAATCCTCTCATCCAATTTGTTTCTCAATCCGCCTTCTCCTTTTCCCTGGTACAACTTCAATGCATTCACATGAACAAGAAAGGTGTGCTTGTAAACTGAGAATAACCTGGGGTGGGGAGAGTGCAGTTGGGACGGGTGTTCTTGGTAAGGGAACACAGGTAGGTCAATTGATAACTGGGATGTCTATGGGTCTAGAAAAGCAAGCAGCAAAGACTGCGAAGTAAAAATGCTAATGAGAGGATTGGGAAGGTAGATAATTTCCCAGATGAATGGTCTACTTTTAATTTAAAGGGCAGCTGCTTGCTTTTAATGTCATGCTGTCTCACCCACAATGCACATACAAATATGAACACACTTTTAAGGAAATTTCTTAAACAAAATTTGTGAGAAAAAAAAGAAGAACACAAAAACTGTAGCCCAGCCAGCGTGGCTCAGTGGTTGAGCATCAACCTATGAACCAGGAGGTCATGGTTCAATTCCCGGTCAGGGCATATGCCCTGGGTTGTGGGCTTGATCCCCAAGGTGGGGCATGCAGGAGGCAGTTGGTCAATGATTCTCTCTCATCATTGATGTTTCTATCTCTCTTCCCTCTCCATTCCTCTCTGAAATCAATAAAATGTCTATATTGTAAAAACTGCACAAAAAGGTGCCAGGCCCCAGCACATGTGGTTTCGTGTTCTGAGTAGAGCAGCATGCATGACTAGGACCCGTGCCGGGTCGTGTGTACAGAAACGGAGCGATTACCATTTTCTTGCCCAGAGGAGGACCAAACACTCCCTTTCTTCTTTTGTCCAACTTTGACATGATGATGTTCTGAGTTTGAGCTGCTGTAGTTTGTGCTGAGAAGTTAATTAGCAGAGGCTTGTAGATTTCTTTATTGATTTGAGTTAAAAGGAAGTTCTATATAATAGAAAATAATAAAATGAACCATAGTTGGAATTGCATTTTGGCATTTTAAAATAAACGAAATATATATCTTGCAACAAGAGAGGATCTTAGCCATGCACAAGGACAGGAAATCAATAGAAAGAACAGTTGCCGTGTCGATGTTCGTCTCTGTTTGTCCAGGCCCCATCCATTCGGCTTCTCTGATTTCCAGAACCACCATGTAGATTACACATCCTATCTCAATGTGGAGCCACAGGAACTGAGAGGTTAAGAAACTTGTAAGGTCTCAGGGATGGGGCAAGACCTGAGACTGCCATTTGTAGCTCTCTGGATCAATGTTCCTTGTCATAGCTTATTATCTTTCCACTTAAATACCAAGTTATCTGATTGTAAGTGAGGAAGCGTAAATAAGTCAATTGTATTTTTGAAATGGAATTCACTGGAAAGTGGGTGCAATTACCATGATTGCTAATCAAGATGTTGTGTTCTACAGATCATCTTGTAGAAGAATAATAAAGTAGGGAAATATTTATAATACATTAGGTAGAAAAACACAGATTATGAAATAAAATGCAAAGTATGTTCTCAATTTTGTGAAAAGCAATGTTGTTTTTGCTGGGACTGAATTCGATGGGGGTACAAATGACAAAGGGCTTTGTTTTTTTCCATTCACCACGTCAAGTCTCCGTTCCCTGACTCTGGATGACATCTGAGGTAAATAACCGATATCTCAGTCATTTCTTTTAAGTGCAGGCCAAACCAACATCGTGATATAAAATCTCAGCCTAAACTTCCCCCCTCTCTGCTTTTGGATATTCCCTCGTATAGACAGCATTTAGATTGTAATACAGGTGTCATTTCAATCTGTTGGGAAGACATTATTTAATAAACTAGAAGCCCGGTGCATAGAATATGTGCACGGGTAGGGTCCCTAGGCCTGGCCGGTGATCCGGGCCTATCGGGCCTTCCGGCTGTCGGCCGGCCCGGGCCTCCCTTCCCTGGCTGCCAGCTGCCAGCTAGGGCCTTCCTTCATTCTGTGCCGCCCCCTGGTGGTCAGCACATATCATAGCAAGCAATCAAACTCCCGGTCTCCCAGTTGAACTCCTGAGGGGACAACTTGCATATTAGATATAGATGATACCAGGACAATTACTTAACTACAGACCCCAATGTATTCCAAAAGGATTAAATGATGAAATTAAAATAAAGGAGGAAAAACAGGTACTGTCATCATTTGGGGGAGTGTGAATTGACAGGGAACCTGTAGTGGGAGTGACTGCTGATGGCTCCTTGCTCCCCTCCACCTGCTGCCCGGTTTCCTTCCTCTCCCACAGCTGGGCTTTGGGAAGCAGCAGAACAGAGGCAGAGGGACCAAAGTCCTACTTCGCTGGCTCTAAGGTGGTGCTCTCTCAGCTGATGCGTTCTTGCCTGCTACCATGCAGGCTTCCATGGTAGCTTCCCTCTGAGAGGAGCAGACGGGCAGATCCTTCAGATACTCCAAAGGGACACCTGCCCGGCACAGGTCTCTGACACAGGGGACAAATGGCCCCTGCTGCTGAGGCAGTCATCTAGAATGGAGCCATCTGGAATGGAGCCATCTGGAATGGAATCATCTAGAATGCAGTCATCTAGAATGGAGCCATCTGGAATGGAATCATCTAGAATGCAGTCATCTAGAATGGAGCCATCTGGAATGGAATCATCTAGAATGCAGTCATCTAGAATGGAGCCATCTGGAATGGAATCATCTAGAATGCAGTCATCTAGAATGGAGCCATCTGGAATGGAATAATCTAGAATGCAGTCATCTAGAATGGAGCCATCTGGAATGGAATAATCTAGAATGCAGTCATCTAGAATGGAGCCATCTGGAATGGAATCATCTAGAATGCAGTCATCTAGAATGGAGGTCCAGAAGACTTAGGCCCTCTTATCTCCCGCATTGCCCAGCTGCCCCTGGGAAACTTGGACTTGCCTTGCAAAAGGCTGGGGGCTATTGACTAATTCCAGCCTTTTGTCTTCAGAAACCTGAAACTAGAGACAAGAACTGGTCTTTGATCGATATGACCTCCTAACCTCAAGAAACCCCCTATACAGGATGCATAAAGCAACTGAGATTTGGGGCTGCATCTGTCACAGCAGCTAGCATTTCTTAACTGACACACCGTGGGTATGATTCCAGAAATCATTAAGAAAAATTACTACATTACTAAATTACTAAAAATCACTAAAACTTTTTAGTAAAATTACTACATTACTTATTACTACACAGTAACCATTCAGATACTAACTGATAAAATTAAATATCAAGTATAATTAACTAAAACACCTTTTCAAGGGATATAAAATTCTTCATCCTGGACAAGTTATTTTTATTAAAATACCTAAAAAGGGACAGTAATATAGTGATATAAAATGGCATCATATATTTTTCTAAAATAAATCAATTTTCTAAAATAAATAGGCAATTACACAAAAATTATTTGTGGCTCCAACATCAAAATATTTGAGTATTTAAAAATATTAACTCTACTATTTCATGTGGCTTTAAAAAATTCTTAGGAATACCATGCACATTCAATATTAAAATTTCTACAATACTTACAATAATGTAAGAACTCTTCCCAGTTCCTGTGGGTCCTACAAATATTGTTGGCTTTTGATGGGTGGTTAACAAATCCATTAACGCTGAGTAGCGAATCGTGTCCAGAGTTGGTACAATGATTTCATTAAACAACATATCTTTAGAAATTGGAGGGGCGTCTGCCAATTTCTTTATCCATGGTTCCCATCGTCCTATTCCCTGTTTATAATAAACAGCCAAACAGGGAATTTTATGTTATAAATACTTTCTAAAAATATATTGTTATTTATTTCAGAGAGGAAGGGAGAGGGAGAGAGAGATAGAAACATCAATAATGAGAGAGAATCATTGATTGACTGACTCATGCACACCCCCTACTGGGGATTGAGCCCGCAACCTGGGCATATGTCCTCACCGGGAATAGAACCATGACCTCCTGGTTCATAGGTCCATGTTCAACCACTGAGCTATTGCTGCCCGGCTGTTCTCATTTTTAAGGGAAAAAGAAGGATATAAAATTATCCATTGGGGATACAGTGTGGGCCCAATTCCACTTGGATCTGTATATATTTCAATAATATGTATTCCTGAACTTTGTCCTCAAGACAGTACTTATGGGAGCTGTTACACAAAAACAAAAAAGTACACAAACGCCAGCCAGGTGAGACTGCACATTTCTGTGTGGAAATGCTGAGTGAGCACTCCTAACCCAGCTGCGCTCACTCCTGCAGGACCTCTGAGCTCCTGGGAAATGCCCACTGCAGCAGGAACCTCCACGAAGTGTCTTTGACCGGGAAGCCCCTGGTGCTGGAGCCCATGTCATGATATGTTATTTCACCTAGTGAGTACGATCTGCCCATTGGGTATTATTATTTACAAGAGGCCCGGTGCATGAAATTCATGCACTCGCCGGGGTCTCTCAGCCCAGTCTGTCCTCTCACAGTCTGGGAGTCCTCGGGGGATGTCCGACGGCTGGCAGTCAGACATCCTTAGTGCTGCTGCGGAGACGGGAGAGGCTCCTGCCACCACTGCTGCTGCGCTCGCCAGCCGTGAGCCCAGCTCAGGGCTTCTGGCTGAGCAGCGCTCCCCCTGTGGGAGCACACTGACCACCAGGGGGCAGCTCCTGCATTGAGCATCTGCCCCCTGGTGGTCAGTGTGTGTCATAGCGACTGGTTGTTCCACCGTTTGGTCGATTTGCATATTAGCCTTTTATTATATAGGATTCCATTTTATTAATGAGAAAAACAAGGTTCAAGGAGATTGGATACCTAGTCCAAGGCCATCCAGAAAGAAAAGGGTTTTATTAGGACTCAAACCCGGAGTGTCTGACCTTCACAGGCCAGGGCACCTTCCTCACTCCACGCTGTCTCTTACGGTAAACAGGGGTGACAGAGTGGTCACAAGGCATTATGTGCCATGTGTCTGGAAGGGGACTCTGCCAGGTTGGTACTTGCACATCCTGCTTCAGAACTCTTACCTCAGTGACAAACTGATAATCATAAATGGTTTTTTTTTCAGGAAATGGGACGGTGAGTGCTTTTGAAGACGTTTGTTCAACGCTGCTCAGTATTTTAAACCTATTGCGAGTTGCGTCTGAAATTGGACCCTCCATTAGTTCTCGAAGAATCTTATTAAATTTCAACCGATCATCATCTGTACAAGAAGCACCGACGGACCATATCAACGAAAAGATAAAAATGCCCTGCGTTGGAGAGATGAAAAGACAGAGTGCATTAAAGAATGATTCAATCTACCCTTGAAGCTTGAATCAGATTAGCTGATTAAGATCTGTGGAAGGAAATTAATAAACTGATAGACAAGAGTAGGTTATCTCAAGATTTATTAAACCTGTAATAATTAGTTTTTTTTAATGAAACTGCATGTTTTATAAAAATCTTACTATCAGAGGAGATAACACAATGCAAAGTGTAATTTCTAGCCAGAGGGAAAACTTAGAATGACTACTCTGGAAAATCACATGCTATTTTAAGTATATAGCAGGACCTTGATATTAAAAAGAATATTGAGATAACTTTTATAAATGTAAGAGTATTTCAATAAGGAATAATCAGCCATAATATACATAGTTTTTAAATTTAAATTTTGATACAGTGTTATTTTTTAAAGTAGAATGAATTCATGTTCTTTTGCTTGTCTGTTGTAATAATGATCGGAGCACTGGTTGCCTAACTAGAACCGCCATCCGGAAGCTTTCTTCTCACCGGACTCAGGCAGACAGAACACGGTCGATGGCAAGGCCAACCGCGAAATAAGAAAACCCGTTTGCTTGTTTCTAAATCAAATCCCCTTTGTACTGCCAATGCGAACACAGTCTTGCCTCTGCTTAGAAAAGCTACGGACTCCACTTTTGACACTGTTCACCTGTTACTAGATTACTCACCGACGGTTTCTCTCTGGAAACTAGCTGAAACCAAATTAACAATTTATTTCACAAAATAGAAGCAATAAGAGTAATATATTGACTACACGACAAGTGTTACTATCAGCAATATAGAATTTTTATCAGAGAATATTCAAGGTCTGTTGATAACTTTATTTCTATTTTACATATGTGCTTCCAGATGATATATTGTCTTGTTTTTCTCACTCCAAATATATATGTATACACACATATGCACACATACATATTTTAAACATTTATATCTCACAAAAAAGAAGAAAATTGAGGAGGGGGAAAACAATGAACTGTTATGATCTGGCAGTTGAAAGAGAGGCGACCCTCATGGCCAAATGGTGCCTGGCATTTTGGAGAACGGTAACCTCTGAGGCTGACCAAGTGGGCCTAGATTTCAAGTAACAGATCTAAGAAGGTCGCTGGGCTCCACCCAAACCTCATGCTGCACCAGAACTGCCAGGCCAGGCCTTTCCCTACCAGCACCTGCTGTTGGGGCCTGACTTCTTCCTCACTGTTCAGCGACCGCCCATTGTCCAGCCCCAATCCCAGGGGAAGTTGAGTTTCATGAGTTCGGAAGCACCAGGGAAAGCATTCGATGGCTGTCCATCACGTGACCACAGGCAAGGGGCCTTACCTCAAGTAAGGAGTAAGCCTCGCGATCATTTCTCTCTCTCACGTTCACTTCATCGGCAAATTCATCCATAAAACAGTCTATTAGATTCATTAAGGATCGGACTAAGTTTGTATCTGAAGTAGGAGATAATTCCTAAAAAATCAGCAAAAAAAGTCTATAAAGCAAATTGATTGAAACTAGGCACGACTTAAGATAGCACCAGCTAATATTTATTGGACTCATTTAGTTCTAACAGCCATAGTACTTACGAAAAGGTCCTATCATGATAATTCTAGTTTTATAGGCAGGGAAACTGAGGCACACATTGATTCCCTAGTCTAGAGTGGCAGCTGTGGGTACCACATCGGGGTAGTGTTTGTTCTTTAACCCCCGAATCCCAAGTTTAAAAATGCACTGTCCCCTGCTTAGTTAACTTAATCAAAGACATAGATTCCAATTTTATACCCAAAACATTAAAAATTCTTTCAGAGAAGGCAATTAATTTGCTAAAAAGCTTAGTAGAAGAAAAATCATTTTAAGACTAGTTAAAACATAACAGTCCTTTAGAAATTAGACAACATTTTAGAGCATTTTCACCCAGATGTGGTTAGGTACGCCTTTGAGATTCTTTTTAAGAGAGAAAAGATTAGCACCCATACATTTTCTCAAACCCTGAGATGCTTCACTCAAACTATTTTTGATCGAATAAGTATAAGAATAAATGTTTTTTTACTTGAATGAGCAAAAAGGCTTTAGTCAAAGCCGTGAATAAATTACTTTAATATCTAGTAGTTGACCATACAAGCAGACATTCAAGTGGGCAATTTGGATTTTCTACTTATTTTTTAAGTCTTGAAATCCCCACCCCTCTTACCTTTGTGTGCTTTCTGATAAACTCGACAGAAACAGGGATCATTCTGTCAAATAAGGTCACTAGGAACTCCTTCTGCGTGGCATTGAGCGTCGCAGGCAGGAGGTTCACCCAGGACATCATCAGGGGCCTCCAGCCTAACATGTGAGGCTCCATGTAGATCATCCCACACCTGGAAACCTGCAAGAGCAACCACCGCTTAGCATCCAGGCAACGCCTACAAAAGAAATAGGGCTCGGTCTATCTGTTCCTCACAAACTCAGGGGGGGAAAAAAGCTGAATTTTATTCACTTTCATGATCTAAATTTTTGTCTGACTTGACCAAATGGTCACAGACAAAGAGGAAAAAAAAAAAAACCACCCAGACTCGAATATGTCAAGGTACGTCAACAGGTCTGTCTGCTCCGGAGAATCACAGATTCTTTCAAAATGAAGTTGACGAGTATTTTTCATTCAAAGCCAAAGTGATTCAGCAATGGAAGCACCTAGAGCAGTGATGGCGAACCTTTTGAGCTCAGCGTGTCAGCATTTGGAAAAACCCTAACTTAACTCTGGTGCCGTGTCACATATAGAAATTTTTTGATCTTTGCAACCATAGTAAAACAAAGACTTACATTTTTGATATTTATTTTATATATTTAAATGCCATTTAACAAAGAAAAATCAACCAAAAAAATGAGTTCGCGTGTCACCTCTGACGCGCGTGTTATAGGTTCGCCATCACTGGCCTAGAGCATAGAGGCAACAGACAGCCTTCCAGACGCACAAGCAGATGGCCAGGCTGAGCACTTACGGTGGCAGGAGAAGCAACTTCCAAATCCATTGGCTCAAAAATAAGGTTCATTTGCGGTGACATCTGAATAATCTCCCCGCTCATCAGGCACAGCTTCTTGTTGTCGTCCAGCACAGTGTTCATGTTCTCGATCCACACGGCATCCACCGGGCCGTCGAAGACCAGCCACTTCCTGTCTGGTGTCTGGGTTACGCACAGGGCGGATGCGGGGCAAAAATGTGATGATGATGATAATGTGAGGAGACGGTTCAACAATATTTCAAAATAAAATGTAGCTCTCTTAAGATTAATTTCACCATGAAAATGTAAAGGCACCTTTTGAATAAAGTATATATGTGAATAAAGTATATATAATAAAGAACATGTAGGAGAGAGAGAGAGAGAGAGAGAGAGAGAGAGAGAGAGGGAGAGAGAAACTGAAGAGGCCTATACAGAGTGGGGCGAAAGTAGGTTTACAGTTGTTTGTATGAAAAATAATACAATAATTAATTAATAATAATAAACCTGTGTTTTGTGTGTTCACAACTGTAAACCTAGTTTTGCCTCACACTGCATATGTCATGGGCAAGACACAATATAGCATCTTTTCTTAAGATTCCATCTTTTTCAGTGTTTCTGAATTCATATATAGCATGTTTTAGAGAGTATTATACGCTAACAACGTAACTGCGGGGGAAAACTGCATTTCCGTTTGGAGTGTCTGACTCCGTGTGGTGCTGTGTTCATGCGGGTTACTTCCCCTGTGTGCTAAGCCCAATTCTGTGTTCCCTCCACACACATACAGCACACGCCCTCGTGGGCTGAACTACCTCGTGGTGGCACAGGACATTAATATCTACATCACATGCGCGGTCCGACAAGGAAACATCAAAATATCCGCACATTGTCTGGATGTAGTACATGCTCAGTCAGCACTGCCAGGTATTCGCTGGCAAGTGCAGAAACAGGCTCTGTGTTCGGGTCAGCCTCTTCATGTACAGAGGCAGAGCCTTGGCTCCACGTCAGCAAACGTGAACTTGAGTTGAAGTGCTGAGCACGTTGAGTCCATCTCAGCGTATCCTCAGTCCCTATGGCGACTGCATGAATCTAAGAGACAGGGGCCCATACCTCAGAAATGAACCTTCCCTTTTGCTCTTGGCTTCCCGCGCCTGTCAATATTCACTTTGGAAAATACTTGTAATGGCGAGATGTTGGGCTTTGCAGTATGAAGGACCTCACTTTGATATCTATATGTTTTTATTGATTTTTAGAAAGAGAGGAAGGGAGAGGGATAGAGAGATAGAAACATCGATGAAAGAGAAACCCTATTGAACGGCTGCCTCTTGCACGCATGCCCTCTACTGGGGATCAAGCCTGCAACCCAGGCATGTGCCCTGACCAGGAATCGAACCCGTGACCTCTTGGTTCCTGGGCTGACGCTTAACCCCTGAGCCACACTAGCTGGGCGTAAAGGACCTCATTTTTAATTGGGCTTCACTACTCATCAGCCGTGGGCCTTTGGGTCAGCTGCTTGGCCTCCCTGAAACTCCGCAGTTATGGGACATAGCTTCCTGGAAAATGTTATGTAAGCTACTCTGTAGCTGAGTATAAGATGGGAGCAATCTCAGGATTATTTCTGTATAAATAATGTAACTGCCTACATGACTCAGAGACTTCCCATATTAGCCTGGGCCTGAGGGCATCCACTGTGGCGAGAGGACCCGAGAAGTCGCATTCATGGTCCCAGACCCCAGTCTGCCTCCCTGGGCCTCAGGTTGGCGTTTACCCTTGACATGACTGGTGGCACCTGACCCTGGGCAAGGTCCCTGCCCTATGAGAGTCTCTCCTTATGCTACTCATCGCCCCAGGCCCTTCAGGCAACAAGAGCAGCGCTGAGATTCGTGTTGCTCTGTTACAACACTGACTCATGAGTCAGGATCGGCTGGGTCTCCCGGTGGACAAAGAGCCCCCAATTTAGTGCGCATGTCATCAGAAGACAGGAAGCACTCAGTGGATTGATTGTTGAAATAAAGGCCTCTAGCCCGGGCCCTTCTCCTTCACGACCAGCCTTGGCCAGCTGTCTCCCACGTGATCACACCTCTATGAAAACCTGGTGGCATATGGCAGCCACGCAACCATTGATGGGTCTGTGAGCTCTCTGTGACAGCAGGCACCAGCCACTCAGCAGAATGGGTAGAATGAGGCAGGGGCAGGTAGTGCCCGCCCCCAGGCACAGCAGCCGCAGCTGGCACATCCCTGGTGTCTCCTCCCTTCCCACGGTCTTCCTCACACGCTGGAGGGACAGTGTTGGAACTCTGCAACAACAGCGGCCTGCACTTTCTCCTCTAAGCACTGACGTGCATCTCACAGCCAGTGGGCGTGCCAGTGCGACCGCCCTGCGGCGGGCCTGGGAGGAGCATCCCGAGGGAGCAGCAGGGTCCTGTGATCCCGGGGCTCTCCGTCCTGGACCATCTAGCCCAACAAAGGAAAACCGGAGGTACCCCTCCCCGTCCTTTCTCCTCCTGGCCGCTCTGCGCACACCGGGGCAGAGGCGCTGGCCAGCAAGGTCCCCGGCCCGGCCGGGGTGCGGAGGGGGTTCTTCACAGAAACGCCGCAGGCTCTGCGCTAAATGAATGTCTTGGGCTCTAAGTGTGTGTGTCCGAGACCTCTGAGAGGGTCAGAAATCGGTGAGAAGGAAACAGCACGGATTCCTAACCGTGCAAAAGTGCGAGCACTTACCATCGAAGAGGCGAAGGCCCTGAAACTGACAGCAAGGACCCCGTCGGACCACTCGTGGGACACCTGGTCGAACTGCCCGTACAGCTGGCCCATGGTGACAGACTTGGGGTTCAGGACAGTGATTTGAACCTTGTTTTCTTCCATTAAGCCCTTGGGGGGACAATCAACCAATGTATTTATTTACGTTTTGCAGAGTAGTGTCTTTATAGAAAACATAACTGAGTGTAGCAAGGGAAACAGATGACAGAAATAACTAGCATCTCAGTTTCTGTAATAAATAGAAATGAACTTAAATCCCCCCGTGAAAAGATAAAGAGCATCAACCTGGGGAAAATAAAAATCAAACTATCTACTCTCCATAAAAAAAACTCACAGTGACACCCAGTGACAGTGAAAGACATGGGCAAGCACATACGCCAGGAGGAAATGAGGGCTGCAGGATTGCCCTTAGATCGGGGGATGCAAGGCAAGTAGCAGACAAGACATCACTTTATGCTGGTTGAAGGGGAGAGTGAGCAGATAATGATAACAAATCCCACACAGGCCATGAACACCGAAATATTTGAAGCAAAAACTATTCAAAACACAGTAGCCAGAAATGCAATATTAGTTGGAGAGTTTAAAACAGCCTCATTCCTCTAATATATCAAAGTGGACCCAACTGCAAGGTGTAGGACAGAAAGTTTGAATAATATACTCATTATCATATACTAGAGGCCCAGTGTATGAAATTCGTGCATTGGGTGGGGGAGGTGTGTCCCTCAGCCCAACCTGCACCCTCTCACAATCTGGGACCCCTCTGGGGATGTCCAACTGCTGGTTTAGGCCTGACGCGGGATCGGGCCTAAACTGGCAGTCGGGCATCCCTCTCACAATCTGGGACCGCTGGCTCTTAACCACTCGCCTGATTGCCTGCCTGATCACCCCTCACCCTTCTGCATGCCTGCCTGATCGCCCTAACCACTCTGCCTGCCTGCCTGAGCACCCCTAACTGCCTCTGCCTCAGCCCCTGCCACTAAGCTTCGTCCAGAAGGACATCTGGAATGATGTCCAGAAGGTCGTTTGGCTGTCCGGTCTAATTAGCAATTATGCTTTTATTACTATAGATACACATGCACATATATCATATAATACCCTCAAGAAACCATACACATTTCAAATTCAATACCACAATCAGCCAGTATTAGAAGTTTGCATTTCAATTATAACCACCCAGAAAATAAAAAATACTCTCCTAAAAGCATGAAAACAAAACCATCAGATTTTTCATGTTTCCAGACTTTTTATTACAATGGCCTTGTGCTACCTTTATAATTACACATTTTAAAAACAGAAGTAAAAGGTTGAGAGGAAAGTAGGTGGCATCGCCTTTATACGCTCAGCTTCCCGTTTGCTTCCTGTAACTTCTCTACTCCTGTTTTCTCTCTGACTCATTTTTCTCATGATTTCAAGTTGCTACCTTGGAGTGTCTTTTAAAATGACCTGAGAGATTCTATCTCGATTATAATAAAATAATGCACTTATCACACACTGACCTTTTCACATATATCACTTAGGGCTCCAGCTAAGACGCGATAGGCACTGGTCTTCCCTCCAAACGGCTCCCCGACAATCATGAAGCCGTGGCGCACAATCATCATTTCATATATCTGGAGGATCTTCTCAGAAAAGAAACCGGTCATTTGCAAGTTCATGGCCTCGCAGTTGTCTTTGATGGCCATCAGCAAGTCATTGTAATCTGGCTTTGGCAACTTCACCCCAGGAAACAGATCCGAAGTGATGCCCTGATGATAGATGATTTGGGGATTCATATTACATATTCATACATTCGCTATCTATCTATACATATATATACACATATATGTATATGCATACACATATACATACACATACTTTCACACAGGTATATCCACACATAAACAGGATACAACTTCTCTCATCCTCACATTTAATATTGATGGGAATAAAGTCATTAAATAATAGTTCAACAGCATTTCAACAGTTTTCTAGAGATACGGTCGACATACAATAAGTTGTATACATTTTAAGTGTACAATTTGATAAGTGGAACAATAAAGTCCGTCCAGATAACCACACATCTGTCACTCCCAAAGTTGCCTGTCACCTTTTGTAATCCCCCTTCCCTTCTCTCCTTACTGCCTCCTACCTCCATCCCCGGGTGACCATTGATTTGCCTTCTGTAGCTATTTGTATTTGCATTGTTTAGATTTAATATAGATAAATTACATATTAGGTGCTAGACTTTATTGTCTGGTTTCCTTCACCTGGCATGAAGGCTGGGGAATTCACAGGTCTCAGCACGTGTCAAGAGTCCGTGTACTGAAGTAGTCCCCTGCATTGAAGTGACCCAGTTTTTAAATCCGTTCCCCTATTGATTGACATTTTCACTGTTTCCAGTTTGGAGTTATTACAAATAAAGCTGCTGTGGACATTGGGGTAGAAGTCTTTTTATGAACAAATGCTTTCATTTCTCTTGGGTGAATACTGAGAAGTGGAATGCCTGGATAGTACAGGGCGTGTGTGTTTAACATGTTAAGAAATGGCCTGCTTTCCAAAGTAGTTATATTTTATATTCCCTCGGAGTGTACAGGGGTTCCAGTATATGGTATGAGCAGTCCTCTTAAACTGAGACATAGAAATAGGTGTGTGATGGTATCTTGTTTGGCTTCAATTTGTATTTCCCAATGATTGACATTCTTGCATGTGCTTATTTGCTGTAGGTATATTTTCTTCAGGAAAGTGCCTGTTTAAATCTTTTGCTATTTTTAATCGGTTTATTTTCTCAATGGTAACTTCTAAGCATTCTTTAAATATTATGCATACAAGCCCTAGCCGGTTTGACTCAGTGGATAGAGCGTCAACCTGCGACCAAAGGGTCCCAGGTTTGATTCTGATCAAGGGCACGTACCTCAGTTGCAGCCTCCTCCCCGGCCTGGACCCTGGTCGGGGCTCATGCAGGAGGCAACCAATCGATGTATTTTTCTCACATCAATATTTCTCTCTGTCTTTCCCTCTCTCCAAAAGTCAATGAAAAAATATCCTAAGGTAAGCATTAAAAAATATATATTTTATATATTATATATATATACATATATATATAATATGCATACAAGTCCTCCATCATATACCTAATTTGCAAGTATTTTTCCTAGTCTGTAACTTGTCTTTCATTCTTTTACCAGTATCATTCAAAGAATAAACTTTTTAATTTTGATGAGTCTATGTTATCAACGTACTATTTTATGTCTTGTGCTTTTGGTGTTGTGTTTAAGACATTTTTCCTAACCCAGTGTCACAAGGGATTTCTCCTGTTTACAGCATGTTTAAGTCCAAAAGTTAGACAATGAACACGATCAAATTTTAAGGTTCATTGTAAAGACTGTCATATTGGCATAAAGACGGACAAATACATCAAGGGAACAGAATAGGGAGCCTACAGCCGTGAACAACTCCTTCTCAACAAGGGCACGAAGGCACATCCACAGATAAGAGACAAGCTAGTCTCCAACAAGTGATGCCAGAATATCTGAATTTGCCAAAACAACGAACTTCAGCCCCTATCTCATGCCATCCACACAAACGAGTTCAGAGGCATTTCACTCATGGGAGTGGGGAGTATTCTAATTAGCTGGTGGCCCTTCCTGTTCACATGGAACCTCAGAAGGTGACCTTACTTGGGAAGAGGATCTTTGCAGATGTAACTTAAGTTAGACGAGGTCATACGGGGCCCTAAATCCAATGACTGCTGTCTGCACAACATAAAGGAGAGAAAGAGTCAGACACAAAGACAACAGGGAAGAAGGCCCCGCCGTGATGAAGGCCGAGACTGGAGTGGTGCCGAGCGAAGCCACATCAACAGCTGCCAGCAGCCAGGATCTGAGAACACACAGCTGCCTGGGAAGGCGTCTAGCGAGGTGGGTGCTGCCTTGTGAACATGAGCGTGGCTTTCACTCCTGGCAATGGTCCTTCCCAGAGCCTTCGGAGGAAAACACCTCGGCTTCAGGCTGCGAGAGGACAAATGTGTGTGGTCTTAAGGCACCAAGTTTGTGGTGCCTTAAGAAACGAACACAATCATGTAATGTATGATTGGAAAGAATTGTAATTCCACAGTTAATGTTCACGAATATGGAGCGTTAGCTGCAAGCTCTCAGATATATTCCTTTATAAACTGCTGAGGCTATAAGTACCATAGCATCCTCTGTGAGAAACAGGACTATTTCTTGGACTCTGAAGGTAAAGGTGAAAATTCACAAGAGCTTTATCTGCAAGCATACAGTTGAGCTGTACTTCAGAATTTACAAATTTCAAGTTTAATTGCTCCTGAGTTGAATTGTGTTAATGCTGTTATGTTGAAAGGAATCCCAGGTCATCAAGGCACTGAGTTTCCTTCAGGCAGAGAAGAGGAAGGCTGTACAGCAGAGCGGGTGAGAGCACTCCACCGCCTGACTGTGCGGTTGGAACCCCGCTCCCCCACGACTGGCCATCCACTCAAGTTGCTCAGCACCTCTGTGCTGCGTGCACCGTCTGTGAGACAGGGGTGGTGAGAGCGCCCGCCTCACTGGTCACTGTGAGCACTCAGTGAATCCTAGCTGCAGAGCTCTTAGAATAGGACCGGGTCCATGATAAGTGCGTAGTGTTTTCTAAAAACAAAACAAAAAAACTCAAATTGCTCAAGGTTAACCTTAAAAGGAGCAGATCTCCCCAGAACATATTTGGTGTCCAGTGGTTCTCAGCAAAGCCCCCACCAGGGAGAGCTGGAAATGTGTAGACGCGTCCTTCTGGTTCTCACTGTGGGCGTGGCCTGTGGACACTGGGGCTGGGGCTGGCAGAGACGATGAATTCTCTGCAGCACAAGGCGGTCTCTCACCACAAGGGGTTGTCCTGGTTGGAAATGCCGATTGTGCTCTACTGTGGGCCAGTGCTCACCGGATGAATACACAACCGTGTGAGAACACCCCTAGCGAGGTACATTTCCGCTGGATGACAACGAGTATGGCTTTTACTCCTGGGAAATCTGGTCAGTGTGCTAGGACCAAAGACACGGAAGGAAAGCTTCAGGAAGAAGACGTGCGCCTCCTCGCCGTCGCTCTGTGCTATAAGATGTCTGCACCGCCAGCTCTACGTCTAAGGGCAGCCCCTTTCAGAACGAGGCACGGGGTCGCTGTGGGTCACTGACAACACCGGCCCTCGCTGCCGGGCAGTGCCCTTCCTTCCCCACTCGTGACAGTCAGACGACTTCAGTCCTCACTCCCCGGAGCTAACTGCCTGCCCTTCCAGGCGACACCATCGGGCAACAGCTCCTCTCAGAAGCCCGTGCCCCCTCCCTGATCTCTTCTACCAGAGATGGGGAAAAGGAAACGCGTGAAATGGAATTATAGTCTGGAAACTGCAACCATCATTCTAATCCTTCTCAATTATTCATAATCTAATCTTTAAAATAGAACAGGATTAACAAGCTTAGCTCTTATCTTAAATCACCCTGAAAAAAACAATGTCATAAAAGCTATGGCACGCTTTCAAAGAAATGAAGCTTATTTATGTATTTGTTTTTTATTCCCTCAATCACTGGTTTAGCAACAATTACCAAGTCCCTGTTCTGTGAAGGGGGTCGGAGCTGTGTTAGACCGATGACTTCCCTTCACAGACCCTACATTCTAGTGTCGTTTATAAGCAAACACATCTTGTAGCTTGTGTGTGCTCATTACACTGTGTGGTTTTCATAAAAGTACTCTTTTAAAATCCCAAGTTGTTAAGTCATCTGAAGCAATGTTAGCTAAACACCCTTCACACACACGCGGAATGATCTGTGTTTCTCTGGCCAGGCCATTGCTTTCTAAAAAGGAAGTTTCCCAGGGAGTTGCCCCCTCGGCCATTGGATGAGCACATGGCTAGGAGAGTGTTGCTACATTAGGATAATAAATGTTCTTACCTCAAAGAGCGGTAAATCATGGGACAAAAATTTTGGCAGATTTACATCAATAATAGATCTAAGCAGCAAAATTTCTTCATTTTCATGTGGATATTTCAGCTGAAAGAAAGATATACTCATGATGATGCCAGAATTTGTTAACTTGCGCCCCTACATTTTCACACAGGTACACAAGCACACGGGCCCAAGAGGCCATTTAAGCCCATGCACAATTATGAACCATTTGCATTTAGCTGGATAGTCATTAATTTTAGAAACTGACCTTTATTCTTGTTGAATTCTCTACTAGTCATGAAATCCTGGGTTGAACTAACTACCTCTTCACAGATGCTCTAAGTTAAAGGCTATGGGCATGAATTCAATACAGGGTGGGAGGAGCCACTGACTCCCTGTTGGGTAAGAGCTTGCTTGTCCTATACATTCAAGACCAGCGATGGGTTGGTTAAGTGGAAACAGTCACTAAAAGTGGGCAATCATTTCTAAAAGATGCATTTAAGTTTGAAACATATAAACATTCAGTTACTAGTATTTGCCCATATTTTGAAGCCAAAGCCTTTTCTCTGAGTGTAGAGTTCGACACCAATTTTCTTCCAAAAAATACATCAATGATGCATCATCTGCTCCATCAGATTTGTGGTGTCAGGTTTTGTTTTCTTAAAGAAGACGAAGCTCTTTGGGTACTTGTGAGACAATCTAAGTGTAGCATCCTTATCCATTTTTAAGGTTGTTTTTTTCCCGTCTTATATACTTTACTTTCTATGCCTAATTCAAATTCGTGGGGTTTTTTTTTAGCCTTTCATCTTACTGAATCTTTCTTGAACAATGAACTTTGTTTTCATAAAAACAAAACTCTTCACGTTGGTATATCATCCATTTCCTTGACATTTACTTAAATGACATAATAACAGGAACATACCAACTGGCTTCAGAATGGGGAACAAGCAAACTCTCTCTGTGTAAATGAACACAGCTCGTCTGATAACATAGTGTGTGCGTGTGTTTGGGGTGAGCCAGGGAGCAGCATGCTGGCTGAGAGCTGAGTACAGACATGTGTTAGTGTGTGCCAGACAGAAGGGAGGTGGCTGGTTCGTGTGCCAAGTCACCTAAGTAGAGGGTATTTCAGAAAACTTACGTTCAATTCCAAAACACCTGTGGTAAATCCACAGTTTACCTGTTGCTCCTGCCCATTAGGTTCAAATAATTCACAGAAATCAGAACACAGAATTATTTCTTCCGGCGTCAATACTTCGCTCAACATCTCACTCCAAAGGTTCTCCTATCATCTTGCATTTAATTTCCCAGGACCCTCTGCCTGTTCTTTAGAATCTTTCTGCCTACTAAATTCCATGTCCCTCCTTAACGGCTGGAGCCTAACAGGCCAGTGATGCCTGGCAGTCAAGGTCAGGGCCTCTGCATCTCCAGGGCTCCCAGTGCCACAGCCAGTCCCGCTCACGGGAATGCTGTCTTTGGAGCCATCTGACCACACACAGATGAGGAAGCGTCAGAAGTTTATTTTGTTATTTGAGAGGCTATTATTTTAAAGCAAATGTTTACATCGTTTCATGATGTAACAGAAACAAACTTCAAAATATTCAAGGCAACACGTTCAATGATTCTAAATGAGCTTTGGACAGGGAAGGATGGGATTCGGTTGCTGTGGAGCCTTAATAGCTCCGTTCCATAGCCAGGATGACAGCAGTGACACACCCGAGGACATGCATTATCTGACCACAGTGCAATCATGACACGCCAGGTTAATACAAATTGTGGCTTCTAGTTGCATTTGTTTATCGCAAAAAACAAACACAAACAATGGCATATTAGGCTAATGCAAAATAGGATAGCACCACTATATATCAGGATTCTCGGTAACATTATTTTAGAAGATAAAAATGCATACCATTGTTCTTAACCACATAGGATATATTTTAAAATCTTTATCTTTTACAAATCATGAATGTGGAAATGGTGTAAACGCCAAGGTCACAGCTTGCATTTGTCTGTTCACTATAGCCTATCTTGCTTGCTTTCATAAAGAACTAATGCACAGTCGTATTTCATGGTTCCACAAGCTGCTACCAACAAAAAGTTACCCACATCCTAAAATACTTGGGTTTTCCATTTATACTTATGATTCATACCATTTTAACATGCAAACATGATATTGCAAATCTCTTCCTATTAGTTGCAATGGTGTAATTACATTAAGTGACAATGTTCAGGGACTTTTGTGTGAATTAATTATATATTACTTCCTTTAAAGCTATACCTGTTTAGGTAGCATGAAAGCCTTCAGAATATTTCTCAGCCACAAAGAATTAAACTCCTTGGTGGTTCCTAGTTTCTACATTTAAAATTGTGGAACAGAACTCAAATCACTAAGAATTGCATGTCTCAAGTTTTACAAATCATAAAACTCCCCTTTTCACGTGGGCAAAAGATCAACTTTTCAGGACAGTAACTGAATGTTTCTAGTCACTGGAACTCCGGGGAGACGCGTGGCCCTGAAATTCACAAGGAGGGAGTTGACAGTGAAAGTCAAGGCGGCTCCCTACCTTCAGGTTGCCGGCGGCGGTGAGCACCGACTTCACGGCCCTCATGCCGTAGTCATAGTGGTGCTGCGAGGACAGCTGCTCTGAGCACAGGCGGTAAGTAGCCACGATCTTCACCGACAGCGGCCGCGCCGTGACGAACCCACAGGAGTACAGGACTATTTCGGCGATCATGGCATAGTCGGGCACCATCATGGCTACTGTCCGGAAGAGGGCCTGCGGGAGTGGAGGACGACGTGCTTTTAAAAAGGCCGTCATGAAGGGGAACCCACTCCTCATTTCACAGGCTGTTACAGTCTCATAGCTCTTCAGCAACATGATGAAATGACAGGGTCCAAATCATATAGGCAAAAACACTATATCGGTAAAAACAGTCTCCCACCCCCCTCCCCGCCAGGTCTTCACCACCCTGTTGCCCGTGTCCACGGGCTCTGCATGTCAGTCTGTAAGTTCTCTGGTTTCTCCCTTCCTGTCCCCCCAACTCCACACCGAGGTGTGTCAGTCTGCTCCGTGCCTCCGTGCTTCGGGTCTTATTTGTTGGTCAATTCATGTTGTCAAATCTCTATCCTACTTAAATCTTTAGTGAATTGTTCATTAACACGAATGTCAAAGTATCAACTATGTGCTGTTCCTCTGGGGAAGTGGCCTGTCATGGGGAAGGGTCTGGGACTCATCTGGATGGAGAGGAAGCGCTGGCGTCGGGGTGGCAGGAACGCAGGCTCGAGAGCCGGAAGGTGGGTTTGGAGCCGCAATGACCACCTCATTCTTCCTCACCACTGCTCTCTATGCACTAGCCATAAACACGCAGCCACCGGGAAAGTGAAGATCCTCATCTATTCAACTGGAAAAGTGTATTGCTATTTTTTTTAAAAAAAAAATTTTAAAAATGGGGCTTGGGAATTAATGAGAATTGTGAGTTGCTGTGGGATGTAAATTGTTTCAACCTGTGTTAGAAGGCAATTTAGCAACATAGCTCTTTGTCCTATGACTCACCCTAAGGAAATATTTTAAAACAGAGAAAAGACTTAAGTAAAAACTGCCCATTGCAATATTATTTACTATGCCGGAAAACTAAAAGCAACATAAATGTCCAACAGTAAGCTATGTAGTCCAGTAAATTTATAGAATTATGTTTGTAAAGAAAGGAAAATGCTTGTGCTATAATAGACTCTTGGGGAAAAAAAACACCCCGGATACACAAGTGTCTGATTTCAGCATTTAAAATTAACCTTTTGAAAGACATTTAAAATCGGAGGGTACAATATAGCAAGCAGTAGAATCGGTACCTTTTCATTATTTCCTGTATTTCCTATAATTACCACACATTTTAAATACAAGTTTTGGAAACTCTTTCTGGTTTGCACATTCATTTTCTAAAGGTCCTCACAGCTTTAAAAATTATTTTCTAAAAGTTAAATATGACACCTAAAAGCAAACGTTTTGCATAAAAGTCAAGGATAGCGTGTTCTTTCTTTTTATGTATTGATTGTAAATTATAGGAAGGACTTGGGTGACATAGTCGCCCTTTGTGTACCTTCAGATTATCTGGCAGCTCCGAGCGCCCGGCATACCCAGGGTTCATGGTGATAAAGACAGCGCACGTGGGGTCCAGTTTTAGTTCCGTTCCTTCAAATATCAGTGTGTCCGCCCCTGCGTTAATGCCTGCAGGTGATCAGAGTGAGATGACTGAGCGATCCCACGTGTAAGTGTGACTCGTGCCATCCCTCACCTCCCGTAGCTCTGCTTTTTCCACCTCACACAATGGCAAACCAGCCCGTTACCTCTCTGGATAGTAAGGATTTGTTGAGCCACCACAGAAAGTACTTCCAAATCGATTCTGTTAAACTCATCAAAGCAAGCCCAGGCTCCGCAAGATAGCAGTCCCTGGGAGAAAACAGGAATGAAATTTTTCAATTTTATCTGACGAAACATTGCATTGAAATGTTGCATTTTCACCCCATCTGTTCAAGGATTTAATATCTATCAAGGAAATTGCTATTCACCTTTATCTTTAAAGATGGCTTTTCTTATGACCAAATTCATGATTATGCATGAATAAAGGGTTTGATCAATTGGAGAAATTTTCCAATTGATTTTTTGTTTACTTTCTGTATATTTTTTAGCATTTAGATGTACACCTTTAGTTTCAAAGCCTTTCTTACTTTATTTACTAATGGATTTTATTTGCCTTTTCCACATGGACTCTATAGGATGGGCTGTGAGAATCCTCTAAATGAGATGACTGCGGGTGCCAGAGACTGCTCTGTGGTCTGAGGACCTTACAGGCCAACTAGCACAGTCTGCGGCCCTCATCCGCCATCCCAGCTCACAGCCACCTCACACAGGTGTGCCATTCGGTCCTAAGGAAAAACTGGAAAATCAAGTCAGAGTAGCTCAGTCCAAATTCAGACTCATTTTTTAAAAGTTTTATTTCACATATATTTGTTGAATGTACATTCGACAGAGGCTGTGTATGTATGTGGGTGCTTTGCACTGAGAACCAGGGGTGCGCCAGGAGGACGCATGGCACTTTGCGTCCATATTTCTGTAAGGAAGCTGAGGCTGCGTCACACAAGGCGTTAAGCGATTGGAATGAGTCCGCACAGCTAGCGGCGGCTGGACTGGGATGTGTACACGGCTCCCTCTACTGAGCCACACTGGAGGAAGCATGAACTCTGTGCATGTCAAAGAATGTTCATATTCATTATCTAGAAAATTCTATCCGTGACCCAGTCTCTAGTACATGCTATAGTAAAAGGCTTAGAATCACAAAGAACAGGATGCTTACGAAGCCACATATTCAGTTATACGGGTTGTGAGGTTCTTAATGCCAACACCCGTGTCTTCTTTATTTTGTACGCCCATTGTTCAGCATAAGCTAATCCTAACACAAAGTCCATACAATCAATACATACTTACTGATAAGCAAAGTTAATACCATTCAGTGTATGAATCTAAATTAAAGAATTAAGAATACCATTATATGGATTAAAAAATTGAGTAACACATGCCAGATGTTTCTTTCAACATTTAGAAATATGCAACCGTCTGGAATGCAAATCTAACAGATAGATTTGCTATTTCTTTCTTAAATAATCATTACAACAAGGTTGTATATCATTACAGAGGATGATAACAGCAGCAATTGGTCATTCAAATGCTTTCTTGACATTTTATTCATTATAATTTTGACTTAAAAAACTCTTATTCTAATTATTTCAACATTACAAATGTAGAGACTTTTTATACTCCAAGTTTGTACAGTCCTGGCCAGTTTAGCTCAGTGGATAGAGCACTGGCCTTTGGACCGAAGGTCCCGGGTTCGATTCCTGCTCAAGGGCACGTATCTGGGTTGCAGGCTCCATCCGTGCCTTGGTCAGGATGCATACCGGAGGCAACCAATTGATGTGTCTCTCTCACATCAATGTTTCTCTCTCTCTGTCTTTCCCCCTCCCTTCTACTCTCTCTAAAATTCAGTGGAAAAATATCCTTGTGTAAGGACTACCAACAACAGCCAAAATGACCAGGCCATATTTCAGTCAGGAGCAGTTTACTGTATGGGGTAGAATTGGTATATTCTTTTGTGTTCGTTTCATTATTTTTTTAAATGTTAACATCTTCTGGAGAAATTCAGAAAAGTAAGGATTACAGAATTTTTAAAATGTACTTTGAAAATTACAGGAACAAAAATAGAAATAAAACAAACAAACAGAGCCCATAACTCCAAATGGAGAAGTTTGTGTTCAGTTGTCCCACCTAACATTTTGAGGGGTGACGAGCTGCTCACGGGTTTAGACTTTACATCTTAATCTCCCTTTTGGAGTCTTACAAACTCAGGAGGGCGGGGTTCCCAATCAGAACCAGGAGGAAAACAACCACGTGGATTTTTAAGTTCAACAAAACAGATGAACTAGAACGCGCCCACAGGAGTAAATCCTGAACCAGAACTTGTTCAGGACAAGGTCTGCAGGTAAAGAGGTCTTCAGAGTCCCACAGCCTTCGCCGGATGCAGCAGCTCTCAAGCCCTGCACCTGGCCCAGTGCCTTGAAGGGACCCCCACCCCCACCCGATTCCACCCCCCCACCCGGCTTCCCATCAGCAATGCTGAGCCATCAGAGCAGGATTGGCGAGGGGGACGGGCCTCCTTCCCAGGGAAGTGTTCGTATAACCCCGCTTCTCTTGAGAATCACCGAGATGGTACTTTACCCTTAACTTTACTTAAACGACAATGTCTTTTACTTGCACCCAACCATGTTCCATAGTAAACAGCCTCCCTCTCCGAGCAGTTACCATATTGTAAAGGAAAAGGATGAGGCGTCCATGCAAACCTTGAAGAATTTCCCTAAAGCCAGGTAGTCCAGCCCGTCGGAGCAGTTGAACACGACACACTGCTTGGCCACCGCCTTGGCCAAGTCCTTGGTGGTTTCCGTCTTCCCCGTGCCCGCGGGGCCCTCGGGCGCCCCCCCGAGGTGCAGGTGCAGGGCTCCGAACAGGGTTCTGAAATGCAAGCAGGGAGCCATCTGTGGAGCCAGGTGAGAGGTTCCCTTGCCAAACCCGCTTCCTCCCCCCGCACCCCTTCCCGCCCTCCCACCCCCTCCTCTTTGCGCATTGCTCTGTCTATGACTGTATTTTACTCCCGAAGAGCTGTATACACGACACAATCTAAACACATTCACGTTTGAGATTCTATGCCGACTTCTAGGGAGAACTCAGCTCATCCTGAGCCACCCACCCACTGCTGCAAGCACAGGGAGATGCTGCGTAAAGGAAGACCCACGCAGGCATTTTTGCGAGAATGAAGAGAAAATGGCCAGTGAAGAGGGAGTGGAAAGCTGGAAAAGCAGTTAGGGGCATCTTGCTCTGGTATCTGCCTGTCACAAGCGTAGACACATCCACACAGAAGCAGAAAAGGAAGCCCCCAGCCTGGCCGGCGTGGCTCCATGGTTGAGCATTAATCCAGGAATCAGGAGGCCATGGTTCAATTCCCGGTCAGGGCACAGGCCCAGGTTGCAGGCTCGGTCCTCAGTGTGGGGCGCGCAGGAGGCAGCCGATCAATGATTCCCTCTCATCATGGATGTTTCTCTCTCTCTCTCTCCCCCTCTCCCTTTCTCTCCGAAATCAATAAAAAAATATTTTTAAAAAAGAAGCCCTCAGAACTGAGCAGGGTGAGGAGCTGAAGTGACCCACCCATGTCAACCGGGGGCTGCGCTGTCTCGAATGGAACTAGCGTTACCCCAGCCACCCCCTGAGGAGGCAGACAGAGACCCCACCGCAGAAGAGACGGAGCTCACCCTGCACACGGGGCCTGAGGAAAGCACTTCATTCATGACGATGGAGCCCACAGTCCTATTACCCGTGGGAAAGGCAACGTTAGATGTTACCTGGACCAGAGAAAGCCCGAGAGCCTTCCAGACAGAAATGTGAAACTGCTCCACGTGGACACCCCTTCAGCCGAGAACATGCAAGAACCAATGGGGATGCAGCCCCTGCTGCAGTGAGCTCCCGGTGGAAACAAGAGAGAGAGAGAGAGAGAGAGAGAGAGAGAGAGAGAGATCAGAGTGAAGAGCCAGACCTGCAGTGTGAAGGCACACGGACAGAGGCCTGGGAGTGTTACCTCATCACTCTGCCCTCCTGAGCATCCCGGTGGTTTGTTCAGGAAGATTTTATATGAAAAGCAATAGACATCAGGAAATTGTAAGAAAAAATGAGGCCAATTTCACAAAAGAGATGACTTTAAATGCTTGCAGTAAAAATATAATTATGGAACTTTTAAAAACTCAGTGAACAGGTGAAATAGTGGAGTGACCATAAAGAAACAGAATTATGCATTTGGAAGTAAAAATGGGAAAATTACACAGAAAGATATGGAGCTCTAATATAAGAAAACAAGACACAGAAGAAGAAAGAGAATGGAGAAGAGGCAAAATGGAAAAGCCAGTGGCAGACACTGTGGACAACAGGATGGCGTTTTCTCCAAAAATTAAAAATGAAGCTGTCTTATGACCCAGCAATTCCACTGCTGAGACTACATCCGAAGAAATCAAAACACTGACTCGAAAGAATACATGGCCTGCGGGGAAGGGGGTGGGGAGACAGGAGAGGGCCAAGGCGGGTAACTGGTGATGGAAGGAGACTTGACATGGAGTGGTGAACACGCAATACAATATACAGATGCTGTATTATTGAACCGAACACTGGAAGCCTATTATTAACCAATGTCACCCCAATAAATTCAATAACAAATAACAAGTGAATAAAGCAGGGAGCGCCCCTGCAGCACATCCGTACAGCAGAGCAGGAAAGGGGGCCGTAGGGTGAGAGATGCACTCACAGGGCTGGCAGGACAGGGGCACTGGTGACCTCGATCCAGATCCAGTTGGCGCTGGAAGGATCCAGAGCCGTGGCTGCGGCATGGACCCCGTGCAGGAGGCCCACCCGGGTCAGAGAAGACCCCACGGAAAGGGTGTGTGCGTGGGGGGCAGGGGCGCAGGTAGAGGCTGAAGGACAGTCCCAGCAGCCTGCAGAGAAGGCAAGGAGAAGCCAGGGACTGGAGAGGGGGCTCCCAGGCACCCACATAAAGATCCTCTGAGAGATCAGCACATCTGGGCTTGAGCCAACACCAAGTGTCATACAAGACGCATGTCACTATAGAGCCCCCCCTCTCCCTTGCCTTCGCCCTCCGCCATCAACCCCCAGCGATCACAGGACTGGCGCTCAGGACAGGGATAAAGGTGACGAAAGGTGGCCCACATTTACCTTCCCAAATGCAGGCCCCAAGCCTGGGTAAGCCTGGAGCAGGTGGAGAAGGGAGGCTTAAAATTAGATGAAAGATAAGAACTTTGAGATGAGGCCTAACTGGACTTTAATATCTGACAAAAAGAAAACCTCTATTCATTAATATCTTTGAATAACCAGAAAAATGGGGGAGTCTCCCCCAGCTTTCTTCATCTAGGGAGAATGGGGAGCAATATTTGATAGAGCAAAGTTTAAAAAGAACAGGGATAAGAAAGAACGAAATGACTTTCTGCTCGCATCCTGGGACTGGTTCAGTCAATGAACGAGGTAACTTTTTGAACGAAAAAGAACAAAGTTTAGTTCAGGATCTGAGATAATTTGGAAGATGGGCGATGGGAGCCTGAGGTTAAGTAGTGAGAGACCTTCCATTGTGCAGACGGATGACAGAAACCATGTGAGTGAGCTGGCTGACGGAGCTGCCAGCAGGCATGCGTGAGGCTAGTTCACAGGAGGGACCTTGGCTGGGGGTCCAGACCTGGGCATCCGCCAGCCATGACGGACGAGAACACCCCGGAAACCATGAGGAAAACTCCGTGTTCCGGGGGAAGGAATGAGATGTCTCAAATGATCCAAAAGTAAGAGCCAGAAGTTACAAGAACTGACAGGCGATGCGAACACCGTAAGACACCACAGCCAGACCCGGCAATACTCAGAGCTCCTGGCCGGAGAGGAGGAAGAGCAGAGAGAGAGACATTGGAGGTCAAGTTGGGAGTAGAATTAAGGGTCTAGGAAAAGGCAACGCAGGCTACGTTTACGGAGCGGAAAATAATCGGGTACTTTGTCAGATGGAAGTGGTCTAGAGAGGAGAGAAAGCTATCCCCAACAGACCCTGCAGTTAAGGAGCTTGCCTGTAACATCGGTCAGTGAGCGGAGTGATCACCAGCCGCGGGGAGTTGCCCAGGTACTCATACCCGTATCGCAAGCCGGCGTTAATCATCTTTGTTTCTAAATTATTGTCCTAGGAGAGAACAGATAAAATAAAGTTAGCTCAAATATTAGGATTTCAGATAACATGAAATCTCCAGCTCTTTTATAAGCAATGGCCAGCGTATAAACATCTTTAAAGTTTATTTAATTCAGGAGAAGAATTCAATATCTGATTTCCTTGTCCATGTAATTGAAGTCATTGGCTTCAATTTTTCCCATAGAATATCTTTGGAAAATATATTCCTTATCTCTCCTGTATTTTCTTTGTTTAAGTTGCTTACACTTTTAATTTTATTTTTATTAAGGTCTTTACATTTGTTTGTGCGTTCTTCAGTTCCTTTCATCAATGCCTCTGGTTTTCAGTATACAGGTCCCTCACCTCCTCGGTTAACTTTATTCCAAGGTATTTCCTTCTTTTTGATGCAACTGTACATGGGATTGTTCTCACAATTTCTCTTTCTGATCACTCATTATTCTCCTATAGTTTTGACCATTTATTAAATTAATTTTTACTGTAGCGCGGGTATTTTCACCATCACCATTTTACAGATAAGGAAACTGATGCTTAAAGAGAGCAGGTAACTTGCCCAGCCATACACCCGGTCAGGGGAAAGCCTGAAACAATGAGGCCGCCATCCGAGCCCCTCACCACTATACACTCTGCCACTCACCTATTTTTCCAAGTTCCGGTTCGTGCATCTTCTCTCCTCTTACCCCATTTCACCCAAGCCTTTCACATAAGCGAATAGAATCTGACGAGAACTTTAGAGTCCGCATCTCTGGTCGTGAGCTCTCTCTTCCCACTCTCAACAGGCCCAACCTTTTCCCCGGTACTAAGCGTCCCTGCTCATCTACCTCCCAACGGGGCTGCCAGCACCAGCCACCCGATGCCCTGACGAAAGCCTTCCTCCCAGATGATGTTTCTGGTTCCTTCAACTGATGAGCAAGAGAAAGTTCTCATGACTAAATCCGACGGAAACAGTCTGACTTGCATTTTCCATAGATGTCTCCAGTCATCTATAAATGCAACTCTCAACGGACTAGTTTCAACATTGTGCAGATTCAGCAAGCATAAGGACTCATTTAAAATGAGTACATTTTTATAATTACTCATAATTTGTGTGTGTCTATATGTGTTTATATATCTCTATGTAACTACACATTTGGCTGTGGGGAGCTGGATTAGATATAGATACAGTTTTAGATAGAGTTTCTGGCTGCTTCAATCTTCAATCTGGAGAACGCTTGCTTGGGTAGAGTCAACTGTCAGCAAAAAATCCCATGTCGCTGATACTATTTCCATGCGAGCAGCACAAATTACAAAGCCGGGCGCTGAAATGGCTTTGTAGTAACATCCAGTGCTATCACTTACCTGCCAGTAGTACCTCAGCTGACTTAACCATTCAAAGTCAGATTCATCACTGACTTTCTTATTAACCAGGGACGTGAGGACGTCTCTGGCGTGAACATCCAGCACCACCAGGGCCCCCAGAGTCACGCGATTCTGCTTGGACAGTTTGCCGCGGACCAAGGTGACAATATCATCAATTTGACGGTTACATTTTTCCAAGTATTCCTCAAGAGCCTGCAAGAAAAGAAGATATGATTACTCAATAGGATCAGAATTTATTTAAAAAAAAAAAACACTTTGAATTCGCATGTATACAGAGTGTTTTCTACATTTTTATCGTGATTTTCCATATGACGTGATTTCCGAATAATCCATTTTTCTCACCACAGCGGTATCAGGTGAGAGTATTTTTGTTAACATTGTATTCCTTGTAAACCATTCTACACAGCGAGCTGATGAATCTGGAGTTAACTGCTCTGGTATTCAGCCAAAATAAACCCTATCTGGAATTAAATACTTTTATCACACCTCGGGCCTTCTACGGGTACAAAGATACCCTGACTCAAAACCACATCGACATTTGTGACACCCAAGGCTCTGACTCCGTGATCCCTTCGTTCATGTTCTCGCCCCTGGAATGCCTCACGGGCACCAGGTCCATAGTCACTGCTTGCTGAGTAACCCGATGGGAGCAGGTGCTGGGGTGACGGGCTCTGGGAGTGTGATGGGCTCTGGGAGTGTGATGGGCTCTAGGAGTGTGACGGTCCAACCTGGTGCTGTGCTGGCACCAAGCGCCCGGCGGCTCGGGCGTTTGCAGAGGACAGAAGCGCCCAGTCCTCCACAGGCTGCCAAGAGCCTCCAGCTGCTCGAGCAGAGTCCTCCCTTTCCACTGTGAACCCCGCGTTAGTGAGGGGAGACGTCCCAGCACAGAGAATGCTGAGCGTCCCAGATAGACCCGCAGGCAGAGGGAGAAGGGCAGCCTCCCCCAGGGCCAGCACAAGCAGAGGAGAAAGAAAGCGTTCGCTTTTCAGGGCACAGGTAAAGCTTAGCTAATTTCATGCCATCAGGCAGCCAGGAGGGCACCACAGCGCCCAGTGGGAGAGGGCGAGCGGGCCAGGGACATGGCAACAGGCTGACTTGCTACGTCTTGTGGGCTCCCGCGTCTGTGGAGCGAGTGACCCTGAGGCACAGGCTGTCAATGGCTTGCTCTGTGAACGGCTCCATATCTGCACCACATCACCTGAGTGTGTGTGTGTGGGAGGGGGGGGGGGCGTGAATACACTAGCACGTGTGCGAGGAACTCCATCTCGGCATCAGCGGGTACTATTGTTGTTGTAAACCAAAAAGCGATGTCTCTGGACAACAAGGTAAGAACTACCGGCAGAGCAGACCATTTGAGCAGAGGACACACTGAGAAGGTTGTGACCTACATGACCTGTCCCTTGAGAGTCCAGTTGCCCTTGGCGTTTGTAGAAGCATAAAAGGATTACAGCGAACACCTCGGTGCTCTACCGCAACTCCTACCTGGGCCAGCCTTCTTGGAGTCGGCCCGGAAAAAACACGTTGGACAGAGGGGAGGAGGTTTGATAAACACTACATTTGAAATGAAAAAAGTAACTGGAAGATGCCGGTAAAGTTGGCTGATTTGCTTCTCTGCCCGCCCCCCCCACCCCACACACACACTATTTCCCTGTGATGGTGAGTGATAAAGAGAATGGTTTGGGGGCCAGCAAGTAAGGAGGGAAGTCTAGGGGGCTACTAATTAATTACTAATATGAATTTAGTCACAAATGGTATTAAATATGAGTTTAGTAATGAATAGTGTTACTAAATTCACAGACCCAATGTATTAGAATATTTCAAATCAAGCATCACTCAAAATATTAATCATTATTTACTCAAAAGCAGTGCATGAAAAATAAAGATTAAAATAGTCTAAATGAGCCTGATACCTGGTCTTCATAGGGTAGCTTTACTCCAGACATTAAAGAGAATTATCCTTTCTGAGTTTCGGAAGTTCCTCAGTCCCAATGTGACTTTATTTTTAAAGGTACAATAATGTATATGATAACAAGATTGAGACTCCAGTACCTTGGCTTTTTGGGTGGATTGTGTTTCTTTCTAGTAATTGTTGGGAAAATGCTGACGAGCCCGGGGGTAGGGAAAGCTCACCTCTTGCCCTTTCGAAATAGCTGCTTGGACTTCGGTTGTCCAGTAGGTCTGGGACACACAGAGCACCGTCTGTCCAGGCCAGACCCTCACCCACTTAATCCGCTCATATTGTGTATAGGCAATGATGGCAGATTTAATGACCTAATTGGAAAAAAAAGGCTAAAGGTGAACAGTTTCACACCTGAATATGCTATCCAATGAAGAGCTAAATGCCAACAGATGAACGCGTACCGTTCCATGTTTTACATCTTAGCCAATTATATAAAGACACAAAGCACATGACCAGACTCTTTAAATTCAAGTTAATTCCTATACCTGTGAGTAAAACAACTACATTACGTAGCATTTTGTTTTGCTGGTGCAGGATCAATTTGCGTGAAGCACGTTATGTCAAATATTTCTTTGACCAGCCATAGCCAAAAATATCCTAGATACATTTGGATTGAAGAGGCATACGGCAATTTTACTGTAAAACATAAATTCAAATACTTCCCAAATGAGAGCCATCAAATTCATAGGTCCTGATTTTCTTTGAACCAATCAGATCCCCACTCAGCCATGTGCATCTGTGCACCTGGCCATCAGGGAAACCACACAATTTCTCTCAAGTTCCCCCCGTGTTTGCAGATTTCGCCCCCTCTCAATTCCATAGTGTGAGGCCCACAGCAGTGATGACAGGGACTAGTGCATAATTCATTCATGGAGAGTTGAGAGCCGTAAAATCAGGAAGTCTACCTCATGTGCTTTGCTATATATGTTTTCAGTGGACTGATATATCCACTTCTTCTACCAGCCATCAGTGGGTGACATTTTCATCTGTTAGATCAATCAAAAATAGTAACATCGTCTGTGAGGTGATACCCACTTTAATGTTTGAATTTCAGGGGGGGAATGTCAAAATTGGATTTTTACGAGAAATATATAAGAATGGGTAAAACGTTTTAGATTTCTAGTCTACCTAGTATGTCTATGGAGTTGAAAAGGCCAAGGAAGCCACAGAAAGAGCAGGTAAAAATGAGCAACTGAGAGGTGGGGGAAAGAAGGCAGAGTAGAGATACACCAAGAGTGGAATAAATATCTATTGGATGAGGAGAAGTAGGACTACATAAAGTTCTATAGTACTGAATGTAAAATATATTACTATATCTTTGTATGTCATATATACAAGGAAATACATGTATACCATATATAAATTATGTATATTTTGGGGGTAGCAAGCTGCATTAAAGACATGATAATCTAGAATTATAAAGGGGCAAAGGTGCTAAGAATATGACTTTTTAAATTATTTACAAATGACATAAAATTAACTTCACTTAGGTATGCAGTAGTCTTTCAAATATGCAAATATATATATAGCACCACAAAAGTAACACACATATCTCCTATGTGCATTTATGCTGCATTTGCCTGCATACTTCACCAACACAAACTTACACATGAACATTTGGGGAAGATATTGCCTACACAATTCCTTGCCACCCCAGCTTAATGCTCCGAAATGGCAACCAAAATATTTTCTTTAAGCACTTTGACAAACAAAATGAAAACAATAGTTGAAATAGTATCAGATATGTCTAAAATAATGAGTCTTCACTGCATACATCAGTTAACCAGCCATATACCCCGATGCAATGCTGCTCAGTAGTGGTCCAAGTGGAATTCATTTGCATCGCTAACAGCTACAAGAATGGGAATGCTCTTTGTTACTACTTATCAAGGCCTATGCAAGCTCATCCTCTTGGGCCCACTGGTCCTCCACATGAGAATTATCATGAGCAAATAACTAATCCAATCAAAGCTATATGTGTAAGCATGTCCATTAGAATTTAATTTATAATAGGCAGAAATGGGAAACTGCCCCAAAGATTTTACATCTATTGTGACAACTGTATGCAGGCAGATATTAAAACCATGTTTTAGAAGAGAAAGAAGCATTAAGACTTGTGATATCCATTAAACATGTAGATTCTAATTACTTTTACCAATAATGTGTGAGAGAACTGAAAAAGTAATGAACGTTGCTGTTAGGACCTAACGCCTTATTTCCTTTGCATCCTTGCCCTCGTGCTCTCCTGCTCGGCTGTGATATTTATTCTCGATAGAGAACCCGAGTGCCAAGTCCATGGGATAGTAAAGAGTGAGTTTAAGTGCTCAATCCATATCTGTTTGTGGCCATGACTTCTCCACTAAAAATATAATTACAAATGGCGGGGTGATCATGTGCTTTAGGAGGTGATGTGAAACATATGAAGTTCACATCCACTGCAGGACACGTTATGGCTTTCTACCATTTGGGTGCATCTTTTGTGTATGCAGAGAACAAAACGGTTCACACAGAAACATACACATCCAGGAGATGGCTGGGAAGCTGGAGAGCGGGGCTTCTAAGACCAGTCTGAAGATAGACGGTGTGGACCCACGTGTGTTAGTGCATGACAGAAGCACAGCACGTGGCTGTACGAAGTGAGACAGGCTCGTGACTACGACCCAAGTTTTCTCTGGGATGGATGGCACTTGGTCCCACTTGTCAAGGGGGTCGCTACTAAATGATGTCACAGACCATTGCCTGGTCTTTGAGCGATGTATTAGAGTTAAAGTGGTAACCCCTGACTCAGTTTCCAACCGCGCATTTATCAGTGACACATTAGCCTTCTATCATCTTCACTAGAAACAATGAACGCGGCCAGCTACCTTTTGGATGGATCTGATCATCACTCTCTCTAACTCAACCAACCACTTTTCCACTTGGCCTCTGGCCTTCACTGTGGAAATGGTCTCGATGAGCTCCACCACCTCGTTCTCGCTGCTCTTCATGTGCGTGATGTCTAAGGTCTCCGTGAACTCCACCCTGGCGATCCCTTCGAAACATTTCTTCAGGTGAGGCTGCACCCTGTCAGGGGAAACACACGCATGTAAGACAATGCACTGAGCGATGGCCGTTCTTTGTGTACCAACCCTCATTCCAAATTCACCAACGTGCACCATGTCTGAGGCTCCTAGAGGCTGCGGGAGATAAAGGGCTGAGAGAGAAAAGACACAGGCCCTGCCTGCGTGGATGACAGCGTCCAGGGGGAGGTCACCACTAATTCAACAATCAGGGTCTGTAAAATTACAGCTCCAAGTCGCGCTGCAGCGGAGATGTCCAGGGGGCTTTGTTTCCAACACAATGAATCGAAAGATTTAAAAGTAACGTAAGGAGCAAGCGAATCTTGACTAACAGATAACACATGGATCTGAAAAATCGTCAGATGCACAAAAGTTGCCATTTCAACTGGGGTCTTCAGAGACGTCCTGCAAAACATGAACTAGGTTTAGTGCGTTAAGTACTTTACAGTTTATAAACCAGCTGCTTTGAAGCTACCCAACTTCGGTCTCCTCACTGTGATATCGTTGGAACTGACCAAAGCCCTCTTTTGGCACATTACCAGTAACCAATCGACTACCTCTTTCAAGTGGGCAATAAAGAAGCAGTGATAAAGTCGCAGATGAGAATCTGAGCCTAAATCGATCTTTTTGTCTAAAATGCTCATCTCTTACTTTGAAGATACAGCACCAAATTAATTTGTTTAGCAAATATCTATTCACTGCTGGTTTGTTATGTGCTATATATTCCTTTAAGGAATCGGGACTCCACACTGGGGGAAAAAGCAGTCAGAAACCTCTGCTGTGATGGAGCGTGTATTCTGTTAGACGCAGTGGTTCTCAACCGTCTCGCCCTTTAATACCGTTCCTCATGTTGTGACCCAACCATAAAATTTTCATTGCTACTTCATAACTGTAATGTTGCCACTGTTATGAATCATAATGTAAATATCTGATATGCAGGATGGTCTTAGGCGACCCCTGTGAAAGGGTCGTTCAACCGCCAAAGGGGTCGCGACCCACAGGTTGAGAACCGCTATAACAGAGGCAATCAGTGAACAGCTCCAGTGCAGTACGGACTGAGACTGATGGCACGAAGGATGCCAAAGGAAAAGAAGGTCGAGAGGCAGGCCAGGAGAGGTGGCCAGGGAGTGCTGGCAGGGTTTCCATTTTAAATAGAGTGGCGAGCCCGGCCGGCATGGCTCAGGGGTTGAGCGTCAACCTATGAACCAGGAGGTCAGGGTTCGATTCCCGGTCGAGGCACATGCCTGGGGTTGCAATGCTCGATCCCCAGTAGGAGGTGTGCAGGACGCAGCCAGCCGGTCAATGATTCTCTCTCATTGTTGATATTTCTCTCTCTCTCTCTCTCTACCTTCTTCTCTGAAATCAATAAAAATGTATTGAAAGAAAGAAAGAGAGAGAGAAAGAAAGGAAGGAAGGAAGGAAGGAAGGAAGGAAGGAAGGAAGGAAGGAAGGAAGGAAGGAAGAGAGAGAGAAGAAGAAGAGAAAGAAGAGGTGAGGAAAGGACTCCTGCATGGCAGGTGTTTGGGCAGGTTTCCGCAAACACCTAGAGAGGTAGGCAAAGTCTGACAG